GCACAAAGAGCAAGGCAACCAGCTTCTTACATTCAGGGAAACACTGTTGACAAAAACATTCTTTCGAGCAATCCTCTGTTCGTGCGAACACTGTTGACAAGAAACAAGTGCTTTGGAAAACCATGCCTCTGCGCTGGAAGGAGGACACAGAGATTCGACCAAGACAGCAAGCAGCTGGCCCTTGGTGCGCTGCTGGCCAGACGTGGGGTCCCTCTGCGAAACGCCTAGGCCGGCTCCAAAGGAGCGAAGCCTTGCCGCCGTCATGGAGCCATCCAGCTCGGCCCGGAGCCAGTCAGAACCTCGTGCTTCTGCTTCGGCTCGCAAGTGCTGTGCATCGGGAAGACCATGCCCAGAACTCGCTACAGCTGTCGAAGACGAAGTGGCCTGCGCTCTTATCACATAGTTCTTGAACACGCACAAAAGAGTAAGGCGACCAGCCTCTTACATTCAGGGAAACACTGTTGACAAAAACATTCTTTCGAGCAAGCCCTCCTCTGTCCGCTACGCGCGCTGAAAGACACGCTCCGGTATCTCAAGGCTTGTCGTGAACAAGTTGCGCATTGAGGGTGCCAAAAGAGCTAAGCAATAAAACCAAACTTGTGGGGTCTACTTGTAGCTGCGAAACCAGGCCTCTGCGTCAGGTCGGGAAGGTACGCAACACCATGGAAATAAACAAGCCATCTACACACAGTTCAAACATCCCCACAATTCGGCGGTATATTTTCAAAAGCGACACCATGCCTCTGCGATGGCGGAAGGGCACAAAGCTGCCACCAAAGCATCAAGCAGCTGACCCTTGGCGCGCTGCTGTCCAGTGGTGGGATCCCTCAGGGGAACATCCAAGCCAGCTGCAAAGGAGCGAAGCTGGCCCCGCGGCATTGAGCTTTCCAGCTCGGACCGCAGCCATTCCTCGCCACGCGCAACTGCTTCAGCCCGTAAATGCTCTGCGTCAGGAAGGCCATCCCCAGAACTCGCAGCAGCTGTGGAAGACGAAGTTGCCTGCGCTCTTACAACATAGTTCTTACACACGCACAAAGAGCAAGGCGACCAGCTTCTTACATTCAGGGAAACACTGTTGACAAAAACATTCTTTCGAGCAATCCTCTGTTCGTGCGAACACTGTTGACAAGAAACAAGTGCTTTGGAAAACCATGCCTCTGCGCTGGAAGGAGGACACAAAAAGTTGACCAAGGCATCAAGCAGCTGGCCCTTGGTGCGCTGCTGGCCAGAAGCGGGGTCCCTCTTCTGCACGCCAAGGCCGGCTCCAAAGGAGCGAAGCCTCTCCGCCGCCATGGAGCCGTCCAGCTCGGCCCGGAGCCAGTCAGACCCCCGTAGAGCTGCTTCGGCTCGCAGACGCTCTGCGTCAGGAAGGCCATCCCCAGAACTCGCAGCAGCTGTGGAAGACGAAGTTGCCTGCGCTCTTACAACATAGTTCTTACACACGCACAAAGAGCAAGGCGACCAGCTTCTTACATTCAGGGAAACACTGTTGACCAAAGCAATCTTTCGAGCAAGCCCTCCTCTGTCCGCTACGCGCGCTGAAAGACACGCTCCGGTATCTAAAGGCTTGTCGTGAACGAGTTGAGCATTGAGGGTGCCAAAAAGAACTAAGCAATAAAACTAAACTTGTGGGGTCTACTTGTAACTGCGAAACCATGCCTCTGTGTCAGGTCGCGAACGTAGAGCTGCAACCACGGCTTCAAGCAGCTGGCTCTTGGAAAGCCGACTACCAGATGCGGGATCCCTCTGCTGCACGCCGAGGCCAGCTGCGAAGGCACGAAGCTTGTCCAGCTTCATCGAGCCATCCAGCTCAGCATGGAGCCAGTCTTGACCATGTACTGCTGCTTCAGCCCGTAAATGCTCAGCATCAGGAAGAGCATCCAAGGGATTCGCAGCCTGCTGCGCGCGCTGAAAGACACACGGTGGAAACCAACAGCGCAAGCCAAAAGTGGTAATTCCAAGAAACCAAGAGGGGTATGCGAAACAATCGTGCGCTCTCGCATGCCAACGTCCAGCCTGCGCACGTCGCTGGCGACCAGAATGCGACATGGCAACACGACACGTCGGAAATACCCGCCAGCGCCGCGCGACTCTGATATCTTCTGGCCACCCGCTGTGTGTAACTGCTTTGACAAGATTGGTGCGCCAAGGAAACGAATCCGCACTTCGGAAGATGCGATCTGAGCGATGACACCTTCTACAGCACTAACACGGAGGACTGCCTTGAGCATGAATGCACGTGCAAGCAGCAACGACAAGCGACAGCAACCTCATGGAGCACCCCTCCAAAAAATGAAGCATAGCACCAACACAAAGAAGCCGTGTCGCCCTAATCAACTGTCGCCGCAAACATTCTCTGGGCAAGCTCCGCTACTGAGACACTCATGACATCCAAGCTTCGGCTACTATTGCTCTTGTCAGCTGCCTATCACTCCAAAATCCAACTGCGCATGTTTATTTTACAAGCCAATTACAAAAGCCAACTGCCCAATCTCACTTCACAAGCCAATGACAACTGCCAACTGCCCAATCTCACTTCACAAGCCAAATGCACTGTCCCAAAACACAAGCCAAATTTTCGAGTGTTACTTCACTATCCTAAAGCGCAAGCTAACTTCTCGGGCGTTTCTTCGGCATCGGAAAGCGCAAGTATTTTTTTCAGGCGTTACTTCACTATGCAAAAAATTGCAAGCCGACTTTTCCTTTTCTACCTTCTCTTCTCGATTCTGAGTTCTTTCTTCTTTTTCCGGCGGAGCTGGGGAGACGCTCTCCGCGCACTACTTTTGTACTTCAAACTTACGATTTTCGCGCCGGAGCTGGCGCGGACCAGGGGGGATCGAACCTGCGACGCCGCGATTGCGAAAGCAGGCGCGCAAACCATGAGACAACTTTCAAAGGGTATTTGCGAGTAGCGACAGCAAGAGAATTCGCACGGCGCCACAGCGAGCGGTTTCGACACGCACGATCCCCGCAAAGGGTCTGCCAAGGTCAAGGCAGATTCGCCCGGGACCACAGCGAGAGCGATCCGACACGCGCGATCCCCGCAGAGGGTTCATCGGGCTCACGACAGCTTCGCACGGAACCACGGCGAGGGCAATCCGACACGCGCGATCCCCGCAGAGGGTGCGCCAAGGTCAAGACAGATTCGCACGGGGCCACAGCGAGAGCGATCCGACACGCAGGATCCCCGCAGAGGGTGCGCCAAGGTCAAGACAATTCGCACGGGACCACAGCGAGAGCGCTTCGACACGCACGATCCCCGCAGAGGGTGCGCCAAGGTCAAGACAGATTCGCACGGGGCCACAGCGAGAGCGCTTGGACACGCACGATCTCCGCAGAGGGTTCGCCGCGACCAAGACAAATTCGCACGGCGCCGCAGCGAGAGCGCTTCGACGCGCAGATCTCCGCAGAGGGTTCGCCAAGGTCAAGACAAATTCGCACGGCGCCACAGCGAGAGCGCTTCGACACGCACGATCTCCGCAGAGGGTTCAAGACAAATTCGCACGGCGCCACAGCGAGAGCGCTTCGACACGCACGATCTCCGCAGAGGGTTCGCCGCGCTCAAGACAAATTCGCACGGCGCCACAGCGAGAGCGCTTCGACACGCACGATCTCCGCAGAGGGTTCGCCAAGGTCAAGACAAATTCGCACGGCGCCACAGCGAGAGCGCTTCGACACGCACGATCTCCGCAGAGGGTTCGCCGCGCTCAAGACAAATTCGCACGGCGCCACAGCGAGAGCGCTTCGACACGCACGATCTCCGCAGAGGGGTGCGTTTCGTAAGCTCCTGTCGGGCCTACCCCCGCCAGAAAAAGAAGAAGAATTAAGAGTCGAGAAGTGAAGGTAGAACAGAAAAGTTAGCTTGTGTTTTTAGGATAGTGAAGTAACACCCGACAAATTAGCTTGTGCTTTTAGTAGAATGAGATAACAGCCGAAAAGTTGACATGAGAAGTTGGCAGGTGAAGTAACTCTCAAAAAGTTGACATGAGAAGTAGGAGAAGTTGGCAGGTGAAGTAACTCTCGACAAGTTGGCATGAGAAGTTGGCAGGTGAAGTAACTCTCGACAAGTTGGCATGAGAAGTTGGTGAAGTTGGCAGCCGCTTTTAGAAGAAGAACCCTTCGCAATGCTTCCGGGAATAGTGAAACCCAACCACGAAACCAATTAAAAACCACAAGCAAACACAGGAACCAGAGGGACTCCTGGGAACAGAAACCACCTCTGAACCAGCTAAGTATCACAAAAAACATCTACCTGAACCCCCGAACTACCCCTAACAAACGGAATTCACCGCATATTTTGAACAGTAACCCATTTTTAAGAGAATTCTGAGGGTCCAGGAAATTTGAAAAGGGGAGTCTGGACTGCTGAGGTTTTACCCGCGATTTGGGTTGCTCTCCAAATATGTATGTGTGTGTGCGTCTTGATTTGAGTGTGTACCCCGTTTTCGAGTTGAAGGGAAACCGAAAGGAACACCGAAGCCGTTTTGGGGGGGGCCTCAAGATAACGGACCCAAATAGGTTCTCGCCTAAGAGGAAACTCAGCCAAAATTAGTCTAAAGACCGCTTGGGGGTAGATATAACACCAGGGTTTGCCACTCACTACAAGTATGATGGCCGGCTACACACAGCGGCCTGCTGAACTGGGAAATGAGACCCCTCTACACGCTGAGTTTTGGGTGCATCCCAAGCCGTCTAGACCGGCCAAGTTGGCAACTGCACCAGGCACGACCGGCTTAACTCGCTGGGGCTGAGTGAGTTCTATCCCAGTGGATTCATCCCTCCCTTCCAACCTGGCACCTCTGGGAGGTACCTGAAAAAAAGGAAGAAGATGGGTTTCCTCTTCAAACCCCATGTCTGGTGCTATGTTAGGAGGGACCCCTAAAATACCTGGAAGATTGGTTTCCTCAAACGACCCCATGGCGCTATGTTAGGAGGGGGGGCTGGCCGTCCTGGGATCCTTCGGATCTCGGATCGAACCATCCCCTACCCGACGGAGGCGCGGTGATGGAGTCGAACCAGTTCCAAAGATCGCAGAAGAAGATGTAGCCCATGCCCGCCTGGAAAAAACTCAACGGTTGAGCCGCGGAATCAGGTCGGAAAAATTGCGAATGACCCAAGAGGAAACTTCGGAAATTTCGGAATAGGGCGCGCCCACTTGTTCCTGGACCTATAACTAAGGGAGCCTTTCGAACCCCTCAATAAGGCCTTGTTGATGGCTTACTTTTGGCTTATCCAGGGATAACCCCCATAGCCGTTTTTTTAGGGGTGCATGACTTGTTCTGCAGGAATTCGAGCGAGTCTGTCCATCTGTCCGCACCGCAAATGGAACATAGACTTCTGGATATGTTGACCGAGTCTCAGATCCGAGCATTGATAATAGGTTGCACTTGGACCCTCGGGGCAAGTCAAAAACACACGTGCTTCTAGTTGCCAGGGTGGTTTCGGCTATGTTTTGCGTGGGGTGGGAACCGAGCCTTGGTTACGAATCACTGCATAATCAAAGCTCGGTGGCATAGGAGGAAAAAAAACCTTTTCGTTTTGGCGGTGGATTTGGAAGGGCGCCCCTCCCAAAAAAGCGAAACATGGGCGCAACTGCGGGGCAAATTGTCAAAAGAAGCTCTGGCGCAACACCGTCGCACCGTTGGGCAGGGCTCAGGCACTTGCCACCTATAGGCATGGCAAGTTGTTTTCTTGAAGGACCTACCCCAATGGAGTCTCACTTCCGAATGGGGGGTCAAAAGAACCTCCGGACCTTTTCGTGCCCGCTTTCAGTACAGAAACTGAACTACCTCGATCATCAAACTACCCATAAACAGTGGGAGTTCACCCATTCCATAATTTGGGGCTGCAATAACACATCTTTAAGTTGGAATTTGAGGGTCTAGCTATATTTGGGCAGATCTTTGCAAAGTTTCGGACAGAACATGTGAGTTCCAAACAAGTCAAACCAGGACGAAGTTGGGGTTGCCGCCACTTTCCCTTGAAAGCAACCAAACACGCTGACATACATACATTAAACACACAAATGGGCTTCCACCACAACATACCAGAAAACAGGTGCTGAGAAAGCCATTCACTTCCGGTCCAAACCCAACAAGTTCCTAACTCAGATGCCCAGTGCCCATGGGGAAAAAATGGCATCCTTTTTTGGTTGGTTGAGTTTCAAGGGGAACACTCCCCCCCAAAAAAAAAAAGGAAAAAGGAGCGGAATCCACTCGGCCACTCAACTCAGGGAGTGAAATTGAGAAAGACGACTTGAGACCAGCTGCCACTCTCAAGATCAGCTCGATCAGGAAGATGGACCCGAAAACCCACTCCTCAAGACGCGCTTTCGTTTGGAAAAAAAAACAATTGCCCAGGTTCAGCCAAGTTGACCGTTTTGTTCTGATGCTTACGGGGACTTTCGAAATTCCAACTTAAACATGGGTTCTTGCAACCAAAAAGTATGGTTGATGAATTCCAACTTTCTTACGGAACCAAGAAACAAACATGAATAGTATCCTTCTGAGGGATCCGCTTGTTGGGGTCCATGTTCATTGGTGAGTACTTTAGGTGATCATGTCCCTTTTGTTGCCTGAAAGCTGGAAATAAACAGGCTCGGAGGCCTTTTTAAGGCGGGTCCGACTGGACACGGTTAACCTACTTGGACCCAATCCAATTTCCAACTCCAACAAATGGGGCAAATGCCAGCCCAAAAATATGGAATTGGTGAATTTAATTCTTAATGGGTAGTTTGAGGTCCCAGGTACATGGAACCAGGAAATAAACATCCTGGGCAGAGCATCCTTGAGGGATCCCCTTGTTGGGTTCATGAGGGGAGTGCCTTAGGTAATCAAGAACACCACCCTGTGAACAAACAAAAGTAAAACGAGTGGTGTACTGTGGATGAACGAAATCCATGTCGCAACACGAACTAAAACCATGCATGGTTGAAGCCATAACGTTTGTTGGTATTTATACGTTGGGGAATCGTATCATTCCAGGGATCCTTGGGTGGTGCGAAATGGAAATTGTCCACTTGAATGCTAGTTGGAACGCTCAAACGACTCAAAGGGGCGGCTTTTCACCATGGATGTCAGAAGGAATGGACAAGGGCTTCTTGCCACACCTATGTGGGTGTGGCTCAAAAATATACCGGAGGGGTTGCGCGGGGCAGACCGCAGGCTTTGGTCCATGTTTCCACTTACCAGGGCAACCCATTTTGGTACCGGTTTTTTGAGCCACAGCCATGTATGAAGAAGCAGTTGAGTGGGGACTTCCCACTAAACCACAATAAGCAAAAATGTAAAATGTTTCCCAACGACAACCAAGTATGTATGAAGAAGCTTGGCTCCTCGTGAGGAAACGGATACGTATTACGCCACTCCCTCCCTTCCAAGACACGTCTACGAGTCCACGCCGAGCTTCGGAGCCCTCCAGCATGGTCGAGGCGCCAGGCCAAACATCGTCTGCTGGCATCGTGTAGGTCCGCATTCCTGCCAAAAGACTCACTTCCTATCGGTTGGATTGGGTAGGACCAGTCTAAACTTTTTCCTTCAAGGGTTGTTTCAGGTATGGATTCTGGAGGTATGGAGGTTGCAAAGCGCTTATACAGGGTATATACTGCATTTACCGGTATGTAATCATGCATACTGTGGACGGACGAAATCCATTTCGCACCACCGGACGCACCATGGTCGAAACTATAAAACATGTGTTTGTATTTTACATCGAATCATGTTTGGTCGCCTCTTTTCTACTAGGTCCTCCAGTAGAGAGGTTAAAATTAAGGGTACCCTTTTTCCTGTAGCCTACTTTAGTAGGGGAACCCTCCCCCAAAAAAAGAAACGGTCAAAGGGCACTACTGGGGGACCTAGCATGGGTCCTCTAAACCCAAGTCGCTGGCAACCCACCGGACCGGACGAGGTTTGCTGTTTGGAGAAACGAACTTCCGCGGGGATACGGAGGGCGGAGTGATGTGGGGGGATTCCAACTTGGCGCCATTTCCCACGTCAATAGGGGGAATCCTCCCGTACTGGTTCCCCCTGTATCCCTCCCTGAGCTCTTAGAGCTCGCCCTGAAATGCGAAACAACATCCTTAAAAACCGCGCCTAGGGCGTAGCCCAGCTGCAGGCCCGCCTCAAGTGAGGCGAATGAAAACATAGAGGTTGCCTCCCAACTGACATGGGGGGTGGCTGCTTGCTGTTGACCCCTCTGCAAACAGTTTTCACTTTTTGGGGGTTTGGTGGAAAGCCCCTTGAAGTCTCAAGATCCAACCCAATAGCAGTCAAGAATAGGAGTCCAAAATGGAACCTTGGTAAATGGAAAGGTAGACAAAAACCTGCGTAACCCCAGCTTTTTAATGGTGACCCAAAGCCACATGGAGCCGTTCAACGCTTGGGGGGTCTTGGTGTGGATCATTTTCCTTTTAAAGGGACCATTTCCCGAACGTCAGCTTCTGGCTGTTGGCTGGTGGGAGGAGGGTAACCTTCGGGTAAAACTGGGCTGTGCAAACGAATCCCCTGCTTGAAGCAAATCAAACGAACACGGGTTGTGTTCCGTACTACTGTGGTTTTGGACGAAATACACTTCACACCACGGTTCAATTAAAAAAATAAGCAGACTGCTGGTAGTTACGTTGGGGAATCATATCATTCCAGCGAATCTGAAAGGTGGTGCGAAATGGATTTCGTCCTAGCTGTGATCTTGATAACGTCCATAGGTTTCCCTGGTAAATGGATGGCATAAGACCAATCTAAACCAGTGGAACCCATTTATTTCCAACCAAACCTGCAAAGGACACCTGGTCTCAAAATGTTCGCCTAGCCCCTGCCCGGAAAAATATTGAAGATCCAAAGGACTACCAAAGACCACAACGGTTTAGGGGGACCCCAGGGTTTGGCTTCTCCTTTACAAATCTTAACAAAAAAACCGGTACCTGGACTCTCAAAGTACCCGTGAAGGAGAATTCACCGCAGAATTTCGGCGACCAAGCTTCAAGGGAATTGTGAGGCTCCAGGAACCCTAACGAAAAAAAAGGATGGCTATTCCAAGTCCCCTGCATGCCAGTGGCAATCAAAACGTAAGGGGTCTACCCAAATTCATTTAATGCCCGGCCGCACCGATTCATGAATGGCTCCTTACAAACGTTCACTTGTGCAGGAATCGCTTGTGGTTTTGAAAAATGCCTCAGGGATCAGCATACCCAGGAATACCGAGCAACCTGAGTCACACTCAAAAGCTGGTATCACAGTACCTTTTGAGGCCCTGCATACATAGAATGGAGTACTGCAAGATCAATTTTAGTCATCGTTCTCATCAACACCACCAAGAAGGAAAGAAGCTGTTCACTTGTTGGACGGCTAGTTATCCCCTCCCTGGTACATGTCCAGCCTGACTCACCCTGGTAGGGAACAATGAAATCCATCTTTTGTGAGGGTTCCACGCGCTAGCAATAACCGTTTCTTGGTTCCCAACGGGTGTTTCGTGAGACCCTCAATTCGACACCGAGTTGGTTGGCAAGGCTGACCTGTTGAGATGGTGATCTGTTTGCCTTTTGGGGTGCTTCATCTTCTTCGGCATGGGATTGCACCGGTCCAGTTCAGTAGCCGCCACGTTCTTTTTGGAAGGCTTTTTCGCAGTCGTGAAGTTTAAAGCTTGCCATCACCTGCAAAGCCGTATGGCCGATTTTTAGTTATTTTTTTTCGGACGGAACCCGTGTTTGGATTGCTTTTCCCGTATGGTCATTTGTTTCTGGCCGGTGGGCATATTTGGCCGTATGCAACCCGTATTTGTTCAACAACATGTTGACAAACAAAACAGTAAATGGCCGCATGGCCGATTTTTTGGGCCCGAGCTGGCCAAAGACAGAACAAACCGTCACATATGGGTTTCCAGGAAAAAATGCATGGGGGGAAGCATTGGTTGCTATTGAGCTTCGCTTTCGCTCTTGGTTCCGTGGTTGTGAAGGCTTGTATGGGCCTTACCAGAAACACTATAAGACTATAAGACTATATATCTTATACCACCTGGACCCTCAAACTACCCTTTAAAAATAAAATTCACCCACCATAATTTCGGGTTGCAACAACCGATCATTTTGAGGGTCCAGGTAGAAACAAAACACTAGACGGGCTGTATTTTTGGAGGGACAGAGGGGATATTCTGGTCAATGGTTTGGTCGAATCTACAGGACGATTCTTGGGCGCCCCCAAGAAAAATCGCCCTTCCCTGTCCTGACATTTGTTTTCCAAACCCGAACTCTTTCTGATCCCGCCGAGTGGCATATTGCGCCTCGAAGGACATGATGATGGTGTTGACCACGATGATGGCGCAGATCATACTCTCGAAGAAGGGGTCGGTCACAAACTTGTAGAGCCTCGACTCCTGGTGCAGCTTTGAGCAGGGATCCTGACATTGTACACCTGGACATTGCAACTTGTAAATGGTGGTGTCCCTTTATTTTGGTGGAAAAAGCCATGTTTCAAATGGGCGAAATGTATCTTGTAAGGAGCCCTGTTGAGGCAGGCGACCAACCTGGGCGTTTCGAGCAACTGATTTGTTTTCCCGAAACAGGGCTCGCTCCCCACATGGTTCCTTTGAACAGCACTTCGAAAATAGAAGGGAACATCACCAGGAAAGCTGCGAACACATTCCACTGAAAACCACCAAGGAAGATAGGGAACTCTCGTAAGCAAGCCAGCCCAGAGCAACTTTTTTTCAGTTGCTGCCTTGGGATCTGCCAAAAATCGGTGCCAGGACAGCACCAAGTTGACCCAAGTCGTCCAAACGGCTATGGCTCAAGAAACCGGTACCAACATGGACCCCTGGTAAGTGGAAGCATGGACCAAAACCCGACCCCCCCCATCTTTAACTTTGACCCAAGTCGAATCCAAATCCGCTTGGAAGGTCAAGGATCTGATCCCCGAACTTGCGGCCCAAAACAACCTCGCTCGCCGGAGAACCAGCAAGCAAGTTGGAGCCTCAACCTCCTGAAAATGGTCCTGAGCCATGGGCTCAATAAACGGGGGCCCTCAAAATGGGGGGGTTGTCCTCCAGTGGCCGCTTGTAACCTGCACCCCAAAACGGGTACCCTCGAACAAATCCCGCGGGGAGAAAAACCAAAAAAAACAACAAAAACGTGGAGAACCCTAAGCCCCAGGACCATGCTGCAACACACACACACACACAACACACGAAAACCCAAAAGAACCGGGAAAATCGGAAAGGGTCAGATTGGATCACCAGCCGAAAACAAGGGGGGGTTCCTACTGTTCATGGACGAAATCCATTTCGCACCAACTTGAAACCATGGAAAAGAATTGTTTGTTAGTATTTAGATACAGCGGAAGTATCATTGCAGGGTCTTTTTGGAGTTGGTACCAACCTGGACCCTCAAAAGGGTATTTCTAGGGGTGCCTTCCCCATTCTTTCCAGGCATCCTTCTTTCCAGAAAATCACCCAAAACCCTGGGGAAACAGCGATCAGTTGTTGAAAAGAATGATGGTTGCAAAGAATGGTTGGAAGGAAGCAACCCCTAGAGTATTGTTGGTACCAACCTTTTTCACACCTGGACCCTCCGAAGGGTACTCTCACTTGCCCAGTTCGGACCTGCAAATAAAAGGTGATCACCTTTTGGCACCTCTACTAAAAATGGGAACCCAAGAAGGGAACAAACCACAAGGTCAGATCAGGTCGATTCGCTTTGAACCACTGAGCTCATGGGGACCTCTCTCGCTTCGGTCCCGTCCTTGACCACCCGGAGGTTGCCGGACCCGGAGCGCGAGCCCATCTTCTCAAAGTGGCTGCCCTTGGTCCGGAAGCCGCTCTGAGAGACCCATGAGAGCTGTTCCAACCGAAAGAGCTCCCCCTAAGGGTCCCGACTGTTTTTGGGCCCTCCAAATGGGTTGTCCTTGAGGGGTCGGGGTTCTCATGTTGATTCCCCATGAGTTGAAACTATACCTCTAGGGGTTGATTCCTTCCTTTTCCATTCTTTTCAACCATCGTTCTTTCCAAAAACCGGATCCGTTCTCCCTGGGTTTCAAAGGAGGTTTTCTGGAAAGAAGGATCCCTGAAAAGAACGGGTCTGCCTCTGACCCTTAAAGAATGGGGTCGTTACCCAAAATAAAGGGTCATGGAACCATTTGTTAAGGGTCATGGAGACTCCAGGTACCCATCAAAAAACAGTTGAAATTAGTTTAAATTCGCCAAATTTTGGGGTCGCAGTTTAAACTGAACTAAGCTTTAGGTTGGACAATTTCGAGTGTCCTTTTTCAAGTTGGATTCTTTGAGGGTCCAGTGAATTCACCAACCCGATTTTTGGGTGACTCAGTTTAACCCACTGTTTTAGCTGCCTAGAGTCTCCACCCTTCAAAAATGGGGGTATACCCAAAATTAAAGGGCCATGGACCCCTTTTTATATGGGGTCAGAAGGAGACTCCAGGTGAATCGGGAACGCCATTTGGGTAGGTGTCTTGCCATGGTGCACAAACACAGCCCCCATGACGGACGTACCCTGGGTATGGGTGAAACATACCCTGTCACTAACATGGCATCTGACAGGGGGTCCCTCCAAAAGAAATTTGATCTTTCAGATACCCTCAGGTGCCATGTTAGTGGGAGGGAGGGTAGCTACCTGGACGTTTGTGGTGAAGTCCGGGTCCGGATGCCGACCTCGAATCTTGGCTGGCGTTGGGTTAGGGGAGCAAAAAATCTCGAATTTTAGCAGTTAAGTGCTTGGATTTAATCCACCAAACCACAATAAGCAAACATGTGTCCAATGTTTCCCAACCACCACCATGAAAAACATGGGCAAGACCCAAAAGGCTGAAAAAAAACGGGGGGGGGGGGTGAAGTCTCCGAAAAGGGGGGTTGAGGTCTGCGACTGTTTCCCAACAAGAACCATAAATATATATATATATATATATATTATATATATATATATATTTATGTAATAGTCTATTTCAATAGGGGAACCCTCCGCCAAAAAGGTTACAGGGGCACCGGGGGAGCCATGGAATGCTTCGCTGAGCGCGCGGCATAGGCCCGCGCAGCCCTTGCCGTGGCCTCGTCGCCCTCGCGTGTCACCTCGAGCAAAGGAGCGGGACCAGGTGGCTCGCTCCCACGGCCCGGGGGTCCCAAGAGGCGCCTCGAAACTCCAACTTCAAAACCCGGAGGTCCAAGATCTCTACTCTTGGTATGGGCTGGCAAAAAACTTTTTGTTTTTTTGCAGACCCCCCAGCAAAAATGAACAGAACCCAAAAACTAAAAAAACTAAAAACATGCCAACAGCGAAGTCCAGGTACTTCATGAGGATGGCTTTTGGAGGGTAGAACGGGATCTAAGTACCTCCTTAGAAGGTACTTGGACCCTCTGGGAAACATCTAGGTCCTCCAGAGAGGTTAGAATAAGGGTACCAACTTTTTTTTTCAGTTTTGTCTATTTTAGTAGGGGAACCCTCCCGCAAAAAAGTTGGTCAAAGGGCACTCTGGGGGACCTAGACATGTTCTGGCGCCAAAACTAGTGGATTCGTGAATTCCAATTCTGTTTTTAGTCGAGTTCCAGGTGGTTATTTGCGGTCTTTGGGGGTTTTTCGAGGGAGAGGTAACCACCCCTCAGGTCCCTTTCGAAGGAACGGCTGCAAGGTCCCGACCTGCAAGGGCACCAGGTCGAACAGCTCCAGTTGTGAGTTTGTCGTGTTTCGGTGAGTCCCCGAGCAAAACCTGGTCTCACTTGCCCAGTTCGGACCTGCAAATAAAAGGTGATCACCTTTTGGGACCTCTACTAGTTACTAAAAATGGGAACCCAAAAAGGGAAAACCAAAAGGTCAGATCAGGTCGACTCGCTTTGAACAACTGAGTGGTACTAAAATGGTCGATCCCCAGAACTATGTAAGGAATGAAGAAGGCGGATATCCGAAGCCATTTATGGCAAGGGGATCGTCCTTTACTAAGCTTCATCTACCCGGGTTTTGATTGTGGCTCAGGTGAGTCCCCGATCGATTTGTCCTTGATCTTGCTTAAAACTGCCTCGCGTCCTGTCCCTCATTTTTATTGGGTATGTGTCATAGAAGACCCTCATGTTTGGGATTTCCTTTTGGTTTCCTGTGCGCCAGCCTGCAAAGGCATACCCTAAGAAAGAAAAACAACAACCAAAAAACACGCGCGCACACACAGAACACAGACGAGAACACATGTGCTTTGTGCCTTTCTTTGACAGTACTTTTTTTGGCTGGCTTTAGAGGAAACCCAAATTGCGCGGCCGGTCCCCTACAAAACGAAACAAACACATGACATGTCTCTGTCTTGCATCTGTTTTTTTAGGGCCCTTTGCGCCTCCGCTTTGATTATCTCCATCGGTCGCGGCTGAAACCACGGTTTTCCTGGGCCTTGGTCTGGCCCTGCACGCGGACCACATGAAATTCGGCGCCGCTGGTCGCCCGCTTCCTCGAACACTCCTGGATCGGCGCGCCAGGGTGCCGGATCTTGGAACACCGAGAGTTGTTGCAGCTATGGCTATATGGCCATGGGTCAAAACCCAAATCGTATCCCCAGTGAACATCCCAATCCCCACTAAAATGGGTTCTAAAATGGGTGGTGCACCCATCCCCCAATGGTACCAGTGGTGTTGAACCATGGCTATATCAATGGGGGGACCTCCTGGTTGACATTTCTTACTCGGGCAGTCATGTTTGCCCATCAACCATGGTTGAAGCCTTACCTGGACCCAATCAAAATTCCAATTTCAAAATGGATTATCCTAGGGGTTCTTTCTCCGTTATTGTCTACCATCGTTCTTTTTGAAAATCAGCAATTTCCCAGGGTGTTTTGGAGGTTTTCTAGAAACAAGGATCCCTGCAATGAATTGGGGGAGGTACCCTAGAATTATGGCAAACCAACATGATGGAATTCAAGCATTGAGACTTGGGAATTTAGGTATACTACGGAGTCGGATCCCAATGGTTATCCTGCATATTTTCCCTCTCATGCCCTTGCAGAAGGTACCAACTCAAAAACATGACAGGCCTGGACCCTCAAACGACCCATCAAAAGGAGAACTCACGCCAAAATTTTGGGGCATCAGCAAGTGTTGAGGGAAATGTGAGGTCCCAAGCACGCATTTGGGTGTGTATTTTCTGCTGCGCACCCATTTATATAGTTTTTTTTGCCCATGAAAACCAAAGCAGCGTTCAGGAATGAGCTGAAAGGGGCATCCACTTTGGGTAAACCCGCAAAACAGGGGTACCCTCAAAAAGGGCCACACCCTTGTTCGGAATGGCCAAACAAAACACAGAAAGGCGACACGCAAAGGGAAAACTACGGCCCCGATGAATCCGAACGTCTGGGCTGCTTATGGATGTTGGGCTAGGCTAACCCTTAACCCTCAAGGTCTCGTCCCAGGTGGTCTGGGTCACTACCATACTTCAGCAAAAACTTTGAGATCTCAAAGCAACCTATGTTTTCTTTGGGGGAGGGGTGCCAAATCCGGTATTCGACCCAGTGGTAAAACAGCCCGGGCAACTAGTGGGGCATACGCAAGTGGGGTATCACCCAGGTCACTCGCCATGTGGGTGTTTGTTTTTGATGATATTGTTGCTGTTGGTGTAACGGCAACCAAAAGGAACCCACCCTTTTGGGAATCCCCTAAAAACACACGCACCCATGAATTAATGGCCTGTTGTATACGAACACATGAACCATTTGCCTTTTTTTACCCCTGTGAACGATGACTTCCTCTAAAGCAAGCGGTACATGGGGACGTCCCTGTTGAGACGCGCCCACTGGATGCGCAGTCCGCCTTGGAATTGAACAATAAAAGGCCGAACAGCCATCCCTAGCCAGACCCTAGGGACTCAAAAGCAACGTACCAGGCTTGTCGTTCTGGTGCGACATCTTGTTTTGGTCGCTAACCGCGCTTGCCCGGTTTTCATCAACAAGGAAAACCTCTAAAAGCTGAGCTTCTCTTAGGTGACGTGTTTTTTTTGTTCTTCTCGGAACATGTGTGGATACCAAGCCCTTGAGACGCGTTTGGCCCAAATTGGGGCCTTAAGGCTAGTGAGGCTAGTGGCCACCGGCCCATGGGCGGAACCTTCCCAAAAATTACCACTGTTGTTTCCCGGGTTTCCCAGCTCATAGTTCTTACATGTTGGTGTCCCCTGGTTAGCTGCTGCTTGAGGGTTCCAGGTACCCTCCAAACAAACACACACGCACACAAACAAACAAACACAAACAAACAAACAAACAAACAAACAAACCTCGGTTGCTTTCTGCACCCCTGCTCAAAGTGAATAACTTTCAGTGGTTGACTGGCAAACCCCATTCCTCGGCAAAAAAAAACTCAAGTCCTAACATCCCGTGGCAAAATGCGCCCAAGACACACGCCGGGCCGACTTTTCCAAAACGAGTCCAAGCGAGCTCCGGCCTCCGGGTCCGGCAGCATGGCCGCGTGCAGCTCCGCGTCCTTCTCTCGCGCCCTAAGCACCGGGGCGCTGCGTGGGAGGACGGGGAGGAGAAAAGGACCTCGAAGAGGCACACCTGGAGTCTCCACGACCCTTGAAAATGGGGTCATTACCCAAAATCATAGGGTCATTGACCCATTTCTAAAGGGTCATGGAGACTCCGGGCAGCTTCACAAAACTCGAGGTATCAAGATTTTGAGGGTGGAAAGATACACATGCTCACAAGTCACCAATCTTGTAGAAGTTCATGATCCATCATACCTGGAGCGTCCTTCGTTACCTAAGTTTCTGCCCTGAGCCCGAATGATATGCAAAACTAAGGGTCGTCACCAAATTATGGCCAATGTACACTTTTTCATGCGTCGAGCAATTTCCCCAAAACCGAGCTGATCGGTTCTCCAAGGACAGGAACGCGCAAAAATCGAAGTGCAAACAAGCGCACATATCTGCGAAAACGAGCCCAAATATCCGCCACCGACAGCAAACTCAACGATCCTAGGAATTGCTCGCCTCCGAACACAATGAAACCAACACGCCCTGTTTTTCAAGGACCGCACGATGTTCGAAGCATCGGGCGGAAAAAGGAACACGCAGTTAAAGCAACAAAAACATGTGTGTACAATGGGTGCTCAAGGTATATGAATATATATATATATATACACGTCCATCTATATATATATATACATACATACATATCAATACCTTCATGAGTTCGTTGTTGTATTTCAGTATCGTCAAGATTAACTTGTAGTTTAATTTGGTAATAGGATTGTTAACCATACATGCTTGCTTCCATGTCCCCTCCTACGTTTCCTTCTTCAAGTAAGTATATCATTTATACGTACTTATCTTAATTTGTTTAACATATCAGATGTAGTGGTGTCTTGAGAACTCTCCCAACCAGTTCATAAAAACTGAATATGGTCCTGAGTGGCCCTCACATCGCCGAATCACTGGGCTCCCCTTTGCACGGTGCACGGACCTTGCAGGAACCCAGAATGACATGATTCCCAACCCAGATACCGTGACAAACATTATGGTTTCAACCATGGAACAAACATTGGTTTCAACCATGGCTTCTTAGGTGGTGCGAATGGATTTCTTCCAAGCAGTTTGTCGGGGAAAGCCAACTGCAGGCCAAAGCGGCCCAATGTTCTCAGTCTCCTCCTGGCCGTTCGCCTCTTCCTGGCGTTGGCAGCAAACCGCCTGCTTACACATGTTTAGGCCCAAGTGTTTTCTTGCAGTTTCCTGATATGTTTGAACAAATACATATATGCGATCATGATTAAGTGCAAGAAACCATAAATTACACTTTTTGTATAGAGCAACTGAAATACGCCAAGTTTAACGTAGACAACAATCTAGCAACCAGAGTGTATGCTTAAACCCAACCACCTGGTCCAAGTCCGCAAATCGTTCAAACAACATGCTCCAGCTATCACCAACAAGGAGAAACACCTATGCGGCTCACGGGGGACTTTTGGCACTGCTCACCGGACACAGAAGGGGTCTGGGGGCCTGGTGCGGTGGCCTTTCTGAGCATTCCTGAGCAAGCGCGGGGCTGAAGAAGATTTTCCGCAGTGGATGGGAATGGTGAACTGACCTGCCCGGAGAAAGGAGATCGAACCCAAGAATGTCGAGTCGGCCTTCCGTAGGCAAAAAAACGCTCGGTGGTCAGGAAACATCGGGGAAAAAGGTCTGGTTTATCTACGGTGACCAGGATCCACCAGGATGTGTAGTTGCCTTTCTTTTACAATGCTTGCTTTCTGCTCCCCTGCTAAAAGTTACTAACTTTTAGTGGTTTAATATAAAACAAAAATAAAAAAATAAACAAAAACATTAGTTCGCAAAAAGTTAAAGTCCTAACATCCCTTAGCAAAATGCACCAAAGAACGCTGGACAAAAGCGGGCCCCCTTGCCCCATAAGTCTCCTCGCCCTGCACACCGCCCTGGCCACCATACTCTGCCTCGCCGTTTTTGCCGCTCCTTGGCTGTGACCGAAAGGCATGCTGCGTGTGTCGTTGTTGTTTTTTTCAATCGCTCCCAACCTGGGGGGGGGTCCTTTTTTGGTCTCCCGTTAAAACAGAAGAACTCAAAAAAAATGCAGTACCCTGAAAAACAGACACATCCTTGTAGTCCTAGTCGCCACTGTAGTAAAAGCAATCGTGTTCCTTTAAGTGTTCAAAGGGGTGTCTCCCGCATATGAGGTAAATGCAATCAAGGAGTAATCAATAAGGAGTAATCGCGGGAATTTCAGACAAAATAATCTTGGTTATTGGAGGCTTTGGGTTGGGAGATACCAAGAAGCCCAATCCTTAGAAGCCTCTAGCCCCGTTTTGACCCCATTGTCACAATCCAAAGCCCATGCCAAAAGCCATACCCACAGCTTCCTCTCACAAAGGGAAACCGGGGAGTTGGACTGGCATTTCCCGCTTAAGAATGCTATTGTTCCAAAATTATGAAGTAAAGTCCAACCTTTGTATGGGTAGTTTGAGGGTCCCGGTGTGATCTGGGTGAATTATAATATTTCACCAGCCTCTTTTCTCTTTTCTCGGCCATGTCTACTGCACTCAGCGCTAGCGGAATGCAGCAGGAACCTATGTTCACCCCTGTGAAGAGGGACACAACCACCAGACAGCACTGTCCCTCAGCTACAGGTGATGTCCTCCATGGAGGACGTCACTCCTCGTAAAACACACATGCAAGCTCAAGGAGAAATCTCGGAGCCGCTACCCATTGAATGCACCTGCAAGACCCAGGCCATGGGGGTATTTGCACCCCGCACGAAAAGCCGCTGTCCACACAGGCACACCATGTGATGGCCGCCATCACCAATCAAAGGTGAGCACAAAGTGCTAGGGCACATCAAAAATTAAACAAAGGTATAGCTACCAGCACATCGTAACAAGCCGCCGGTCCAGGATGCACTGCTCCAGACGCCCCGACAAACAGGTGCACAGGGACAAACAACCACCATGTGTGCTACCCAGCCAAACCCAGGGATCACCATCACCAGCAGAGCCTCAATGCATCCACCTGCTGCCCAGCCATGGGGCACCTGACGCCCACAAAACTCGACACTGTATGCACAGGCACGTCCCAATGATTGCACGCCAATAAAAACCCGTAGCAGTGTAGAGCAGCATGAAATCCAGCCTCCAACCCAGGATTTAACCATTGACCCAAGCTCGACTGAGCTGCAACTTCTGCTCTTCCGCACCCTTGCATCATTGCCAGCTCCTGGGACACACTCCAAGATGACCACCTGGATGGTAAAGAGGCACAAGTTCGTGAATTGCCGGACAGGGTTGGGCTCTGTGGCCAAGCAGCGCAGCGCCTGGCAAATCTTTGGCACCCACTCGACTTTCAAGATGGGCTCGATGCCCGCATATGTCAGTCCGAATCCCATCGCCCCAGCCGCGCGTTCCAAGCTGCTGTCAGAAAAAAGCCCTGCGCCTGGAAGCAAAGGCCTCCTCATCAACCTCAAGGACTGACGCTCCTCCACCATGTGCCTGTGCCGAACACTTGGCATTGATCAAAACCAAATGTCCATCACCACGGGGCCAGTCACCAAAGACCACCACCCTTTTCTGATGAAGGAGCGTGTGTCCAAGCATCTTCCCAGGGAGAACCGCCTCCTCCACCTCCATGGCTGGCGATCTCGGCTCTATCTGCCGTCCCAGCTCGGCCGCTGGGAGGCTAGAGCCACGAGCTATTTCACCAGCCTGAAATAAGGTGGTTGGGGGGGCCATTCACCATTTCGGGTGAGGTCGTGTGAGGTCGTTATAATTCACCCAGTGTTATGTATCACCGGCTGGAAAGCTGTATGGCCGTTGTGTTTTGGACGTTCCCCGCATGGTCAGTCTTCGCCGGCCGGCCGGATCTGGCCGTATACAGCCCGTATCGTTCCAACAAGATGCCGAATGAGGCCATTTGTGGCCCAAGCCGTGTACATTGACAAAAAAAGCCGACACTCCCAGAGGGTCCAAGTACCTTCCAAGGAGGTACTTCGATCCCATTTTACCCCCCAAAAGCCATCCTCATTCCAGGCGTTCCATGGTTTCGTCTGGTTTTCCGGAAGCACTCAGCGACTCTTTCCAGCGACTCTTTGGTGAGTCACAATCCAAACCGATCGGTGCTACAGTGGTCGAGCCTGGACCCTCAAACTACCAACAAAAAAGGAACACCACCATCATGTTGGGGCAAAAACCCGTTGGAATCTTGACGTACCCAATTAAAAAATTCCAAGCCCTGGGGAAGTTATTTTTTTACAGACATATAGCCCATGTTACCCCCCAAAAAGTTGTTGAAAAGTGGTGTCTTTAAGTTGGAATCTTGAGGGCCCAGGCACCCAGAACCATGCTTCAATGAAGGCGGTGAAGGAAAAAACCTCTTGGGTGAGATCTTCCGTTTCATCACTGCCCCGGGAGCTTTTTTTTCAGCACGCTCGGGTCCCCTTGATCTGACGGCTGACGTAAGGGGAGCAAACATTCTCAAATTTTAGCAGTTCAGTGGGTATTTCCCACTAAACCACAATAAGCAAAAATGTAAAAGGTTTCCCAACAACCACCATGTTATACACCTGAAAGACACCGTCCTCCAACCGCTCCTGACTCCTGTCATCTCCTGACTGCTTTCGGGGTCCTCAAAAACGGAGAGTTCTTGAGCAACCTTGCTGGGCCGAACATAGGAGCTCCATTGCAAGGTCCCTCCCCTTCAAAAACAAAAACAGCCCCCCCCCAAAAGGAAACCTAAGTTCACATGGGATTGCGGGATGTTGCTGGGGTTCAAACCACCATTGAAACAATGGGTTCATATGACCACCATTGTTTGCCTAAGGATTGTCATCATCCAAAACCTAGAAGAATGTTGCTAGAATCTCGCCCAGAAAGGATTCCCAACCCCGAAGCTGAAGGCCCTCTTAGGGGCCCCAAAGACCTCAACAAGATCTTGGGACTCTAGGCTTTGGATATCACTGGCAACCAAACCCAAAAAGTTCCCAGAACTCAAGTGAGGTGAATCTGCTTTTCTGAGAAAAACCCTCCAAAAGCCTTCTTCCATTTGCGACTTTGTTTTTTTGGAAAAAAAAACAAGACATCTCTCCAGTTGTGACATCGATTACTCAAAAGCCAACCCGGACCCCCCCCTTGAGGAATCATTTGTTTGAGGGCTTGGGCTAGGGAACAGAGAAAAGTAAGCACCAAATATTCCTTTGTGAATTTGCCTACCTAGAGTCTCCATGACCCTCAAAAAATGGGGTCATTACCCAAAATCAAGGGGTCATGGACCCATTTTGAAAGGGTCATGGACTCCAGGTAGCCGTTGCCCCAGGCAACTTTACTTAATGGGCGAGGAGATCAAGGGGATAGAATCCCTTAAAGAAACACCAGGATGAAGTATAAAATCAAGTCATTGCAGCAAATGGAAGTTTGCAACCCAACAAAGTGACTTACGGAAGAAGCCTTCCTGGAGTCTCCATGACACTTTAAAAAAATGGGTCCATGACCCATTTCTTTACTTTGGATAACGGCCAACCATTGTTTAAGGGTCAGAAGGAGACTCCAGCGAGGTGTTCCAAAAACGCCGAGCGGCTCGTCCATCCGCAGCTCCGCCTGCTTCAAGAGCCTGCGAGGCGGTTGGAAGGCGTCCCCAAAAACCCTCCCTCAGGCAAGGCATACCGTCACGCTCTGGGGGCTTTATCCCCCAAACCATTGGAGACGTGCAACTGTGCAGACCAACCGTTTCAGGGAAATGTGAGCAGTGCTTTAAACTCCTTTGTATGGCAAGGGAAATAACCCCCACACGGTTTAGCATAAGGGTGATAATGCTTTCCTTCATGGGGGTTATTTACAGGCTACAACCCACTACAACCATGGGTGTAGAACACTGCTCATGTCGACTTGCGTTCACCTGTCAAGCTTACCTACGAGAAAGGGGATTGGGCAATAACCCATTTTCAGGGAACTTTAATGGAGGTGTGAAGCTTTAAACATGGCTGAGGACAAACATGAATCCCAGAGTAAATTGTAACCACCAGGAGGTCCCCCATTCATATTACCCAATATGCGGATACAATACCAAGTGTTCCCTAGTCAAATCCATTCCCATCTTGGGTAATTCGAGGTTTTCAAACTCCGGTTTCCCATATTTGTTCAGGACATATGTTGGACCCAAAAGGCCATGGCCAGATAAGGCTAAATGGGCTTGCTGAGTGGGGTTTTTGTGGGCTGGTGAAACCAGGGTAGCCAGATCATCATACTCTGCCCCAGAAGCAGACCGTTCTCTTGCTGCTTTCATGGGGTGGAAGCCAACCCTGTCCCGTGGGAAGAGGGGCGATCCCCATGTTTGAGCCCAAAAAAACACTCGGAAAGGAATTTCGTTGGAGGGTCCAGGGACCCTCACCCACAGCACCCTGGCCCCGAAAGGAAACCCGGAAGCAACAAGAAACCACAAGCGCTCTCCGAGCACCGCCCAACGGTTTCTTCTCGGGGTAAGTTCCATATATTCTTTCCAGGGACCCTTCTTTCTAAAACACCACCAACAATCTTGGGGAAGGTTTGAAAAGAACGATGGCTGCAAAGAATGGACAAGGAATCAACCCCTAGAATTTGGGGTAAGTTGGCCCGAGTAGCAACACGGTACTTAGTAGCTAAACGGTGCTTACCACAAATACCAGGCATACCGTCACCCCTAGATTTCTTTGGGGAAACAAAAACAACACATCCGCCTCTGGAGTTCCGAGAGCAACTCCTGGTGCCGCACTGCGAGCTCCTCCCGCTCCGCGCGCAGAGCAGTCTCCAGCCTAAAGTCGGCAGCTTCCGATCGAACCACTTCAACCCCCTGGAAAGAATAAACGCATATGCCCAGTAGTGGCAGATTTCAACCAAAAAAACAACAGTATTCTTAAGCAGCTGGAAGTCAAGCTGCTATGACTTTGAGGGGTAGCCTCCATTTGCGAAGAGGTTTTTCTGGAACAAAATAAAACAAACAAAACACAACAAAGTAATTAGTGAATGATCAGTGGGGGGTCAAACAATACTAAATGCTGGGAGTTAAATATGGGCCTTGGAAGAAAATACCGGGCTACCTTCCAGGTCCTTTGAAACCCAGGTTGAATCGAACGATCGGTTTTTACAAAAGAACGATGCTTGAAACGAATGGAAAAGGGATCAACCCCTAATGGAAAATCGCCCCCATGATTTTGTGGGCTAAAACAGTTTGAAGGTTCAAGCAATAAATACAAAGGCATCAAACAGGGCCATCAAATGGCTTGAACGAACTTCTTTTGGGCATTCCGGGCCATGTGCAAGACATTCAAAGGTGCTGGTAGTAGGTTTTGCTTGAAGCTAGAAGTCAACCAACCGCTGTCCCACTTATAACTCTGGTCATACTATGGATGGACACATGGGAAACTGGGAAACCACTGGAGTTGATATTTGCAGGGGACTCAACATTGCAGGGTTTCTTAGGTGGTGCAGTAGACTAGGTGGAAAATCCGAACAAAGTATTGGCACCTGAGTTCATAGTCCAACGGGGGGGGTTGGGGGTAGGATGCTTCTCCCGGCTGCCCAGTTGTTCTCATTTGGTCAGGAGCGGCCATGACGTGACTGCCGCCATGCCGGGCGGCGGGCGCCGAAAAAAAGTTGTTAAAGGCGGCCGCAACAAACCTCCAAAAAACCACGTGCACCTGGGCCCAAGATAGGTTGCTCTCAAAGACACTTGCAACAAAACCAAAGAAAAAGAAGAAGAAAAAAAACACGGTGACCAAACAAGCCATGATATATGTTACTTCCCCTCAGGTGGAAACCTGGTGAGGATGTTTTTGGCGCACTCGCGGATGCCAAAAAAGCCGCCCCTTGAGCCGATCGCTCTGGCGGGCGAGGTAGTTTTCCGGGCTTTGACCCGGCAAACGAAGCAGATATTTGTCTGGTTGTTGCCAGTAGACACACCGTTTGGGGAAGAAAACAGAAAGGGTACCGAGCCTGAACAAGGACAATCTGAGATGATTATGATATTTTGTGTTTTTACGGGGGGTTCATCAAAAGGTGCGCAATACATGGGGTAGCCAGTGGGTACACGGAATTGCCAGCATGGTATAAGTAGTTGGTGATTTGAGGGATGTTGCCTCTATATGTGCTTGTGTTTTTTTTGAGGCTACGTTTTTCAGGCTGCGGGAAGCCAACGGAAACACGAACGCCATTTTGGTACGTTCCAATGACACAAACGCAGGCCTCTCGCCTCTCGCCTTGAAACTCAATGGGGAGGACCTGCTTTCAATCCCCTGAAAACCTCCAGGTCCTTCAGTGGCCTTGCAGCTTTCTTTTTTTTTTGCGGAAAGCGCAGAGAAATCCTGGTCCAAAGGTTGCAACAGGCTCGAGCCGGCACACAGGGCTTCACATCAACTTCTTTGGCTCATATGGCCATGGGTCAAAACCCCGTGCTTTCCAGTGAACGTCCCAATCCCCAACTAAAATAGGTTCTAAACTGGAGGTGCGCCGAAAGCCCCAAAATGGGATCCCATTGGTCTTGACCTGCCATATTTACCCACATTCAAGACAGATCAGATCCGAACCATGGGGGAAAACATAAGACACGAGATTGACCCACCCTTCCCCGTGCGAGTTCACATCCCGAGCAAAATCTCCACGCGGGACTTACCCTACCGCGTAATGAGGAAATGATAGCGATCGAACCACTCTGAGTGCTTGCAGTTGCCACTTGTTTGGTACATGAGGGGAAAACTTGTGCCAAAAGCAAGCGGCACACTTAACACAACAAACGGTGCCACTCCAGCAAAATCGCAACTCCGACAAAAAGGGGGTACCAAATCTGCCATTCTTCAGGGTTACCCCAAGATAAGTACCTACTGGGCCAAATTAAATTGCTCGGTGTTCCCGTCGGTGCAGATCTTCTCCGACCTTTGAAGCCCAAGGGTCAGCTTCCCTCTTGGTGCTTCGCATTTGCGGATGAACATTTTTGGGGTGCCGCCTAGCCTCTACGCCCAGAGGGTCCCAGAGGTACCCCAACGGCCTTGGGTTTGGTTCAAGGGGATTCGTCAGACTCTAATCCTCAATTATGAGGTCCTTGGAGCCTATACAAGAACCAGGCTACCAGGCATCCAATTCCCAGTTCCCAATTTCCAAACCACAAACCAAGGAGAACCTATCCGAATCACAAGCAAGGGCAGCCGGCGACCAAAATCCCCAGTTCCCATCCAAACCCAGGGCACCTGGAAAAAAACAAAAAACTTGGGTGCCCTCAACACCCGACGCCACTTGATTTCGGCGGCCGAACCGACTCCCACGTAACGACGCTCCTTGATGAAGGAGCTGGGCCCAGCGAGCTCCTTGTGACCCATCTTTGCGGTTGGACAGTTTGGACACGTCGATATTCCCGCCGTAGTTTGGGGCCAATAGTCCATGTTTAAGGGAATCTTGGGGGTCCAGGTATATGCTTTTCTGGGTATGTCTTTTTTTGTTGAGGGTACCAGTTTTTGGGGCTGGTTTAAAGGGAAGCCAAAAGGAAAACCGGCATGTTGTGGGTTTTCAACAAAAGGCACACCCAAGGCAAACTCACCTTAAATGGTCCGGGTGATGTTAAAAAGCCACAGGGAAATTTAGGAAACCCTGAAGCGGTGGATGAAACAAAACGTATTTCGCACCACCCAGGATGGACACCAACCCTACCAACACCCCCTACCCCAAATACCCCTTGTTTTGTATTTGTTTGGTAAAGACCTGCTTTTCCAAGGTGAATCTCCTTCTTTAGCAACGGGTCGGTCGACATCATACCCCAAAAAACCGGGCATTTGGAGGTATTTGGAGTAGGGGGTAAGGACATAAACCACCTACCCACTGGCCAAAAGCAAGTTACGAATTCCCCCACAGGACAACAAATCCGGGATCGCCCTGGTTGTGGAGCTGTGCCCGCATGCCCCTCGATGGATAGACAGCAAATGGGACCTATGGACGGAATTCGAAGCCATCCCTCCAGCCTTCAGGCCACTTGAGAGGCCTCAAGGCTGAAGGCCAAGGGCCTTCACGGGTTGAAGGTTGGCTTTGTTGAGGCCGTCAAAGGCCAAAAGAGGAGTTGTCCCTTGACGGGTTGAGTCAGGTCAGATGGGCTCCCCCAGAAGCACATGTAACATTCCTTAGGCCCAAACTGTAAGTTTGTCAATTGGGTGTAGTACAAACTTTCAAAGGGACAGCTGTTTGTTTTGTGTGCTTGATCAGCACGGACTGAGACAGGCAGTCAGTGAAGTGTGTCCCTCGCCGGCCTTCCCATCCTTGGTTTTTAGAGTTCTGGTTAGTGTTGGTACAGGGAGCCTGCATCCTTCAGCACCCCCTAATACGACTGGGGTCGGGTTTGGCAAGCAATCGGCCAGTTTAGCAATGTAGAGCCTCCATGACCCTTTAAAAATGGGGTCATTGCCATTAACAGGATATGACCCCATATTTTTAGGGTCATGGCAACTCTAGGTGGTCGAATTTGCTTTTTGGACCCGGCGGGTCCAAACAAACAGATTTGTCAATTCGCCCTAAGCGTTGAATTTTGATGGCTTTCGGGCCCTCAGCGCTGGTTGACTTTGGGGGAAGGGGAAGGGGAGCAAAAATTATCAAACATAGGTGTCCTTTTAGGGTAAATGGATGGCCCTGGTAGATTATTAAACTACCAGGTAAACCAGGGCCGTCTATTTTTCTGCCAAAACAACCAAAAAGGACACCGGTTCTCAATCTTTAGCAGTTCAGAAAAAAATGCTTCCAATGTTTCCCAACGACAACCAAGTCAACACTGGTTGTCCTGAGGAATTCGTGGTTCTTCCTTGGAGGGCCTGGGGGTCTGCATTGGAGGGGTGCATGTAGCTGGAACTGACCTTCACTCGCCCAGTTGTTTTTCTTTGTCTTTTTTATGGTCTCCGGTGCTTCTCGGCAAATCCGTAAGGGAACAAATCGGGTCGCTTTCCAGCGGACAGGCAACTATCCCCTTTGCACAATCAACCTGGAAACCCGTATGTGACGTTTTTGTTGGTCCATACGGCCTAAGCCACAAAAACATGACCATACGGTCATTTACGGTTTTTTGGCAACAATTTGTTGAACAAATACGGGTTGCATACGGCCAAAATACGGCCACCGGCCAGCCAAAAAAAACACATGTGAGAAAAACGATCCACATACGGGTTCCGTCCAAAAAAAATCGGCCATACGGCTTTCCAGGAATTGAATGGATCCATGGCTAACCATATTTCACCCACCAAAAAGCGAACAGCCGTTCGGTCGGGCAAACAAATGCCCAGTCGAATTCGGACGGGTCCGACCTCCAGTGGCGACAAAGGCCAGATAAGGTCGTTCGTTGATTTATGGGGAAGCCCTTCCAAGACACTCTGAACCCTCAAACTCCCCCAAAAAAAGGAACTCACCAGATAACCGTAACCGTGGGTTGCAATAACCCATTTGAAAGTTGGAATTTTGAGGGTCCAGGAAGTTGAATTGAAACAAGGGCACTGGAGAGCTGACGAAAAAGTCGGGAACGTTGCCCCAGACGCAAACGTTGCCCCACACGCAACGGCTACGTGTCTGCAATCAAGCGCTGTTTGCTGGTTCGATGGCTCACATGTACGTAGTAGGGGAACCCTCCCCAACAAAAGGGTAAAAGGGCACTACTGGGGGACCTAGATTCATATTTGGACCAATTTGGAAGACCATTTTGGTGTCCAAATGTCCATTGTGGGGAGCCATACTTGGACGCCCGACACTCGACACTGCAATTTCGAAGACCCTTTTGGTGTCCCATTGGACCCAAATTTCTACGGATACCTTCCCCATTCTTTCTAGGCATCCTTCTTTCTAGAAAACCTCCAGAACCCCAAAGAAAACGGCGTTTGTTTTGAAAGGAACCATGGTAAAGAAAAAACTACAGAATGGAGAAGGAATCGAGCCCCAGTAGTGAGCGATTCCCTTTAAAACCAACAAGGGAAAATACAAAATCTGATTAAGCAAATCAAAGTTTTAGTGTCCCATTGGACCCAAACGGATACACCGGCTCAGGTCTTGAGACTCGATACAAAATGGAGGCTTCTCAATCAGGCGGAGCCCCCTTTGAGTAGGCATTTGAAGAGGAAAGGAAAGGACGCCAGCTATTTTCGGGGTCCGACTTTTCTACTTTACCTGACACACCCATTTTGAGACCACAAAATGATGGCTTCCTTTTGCTTCCGCGAGAAAAAAAAAGAAAAAGAAGAAAAACAACTAGCCAAGCCGGGTCCCCTGGAGTCTCCATGACCCTTCAAAAATAGGTCCATGACCCCCTTGTTTCGGGTACTGACCAACCATTTTGAAGGGGTCAGAAGCAGACTCCAGGCAGAGGTGTTTTGGGAGGCAAACCAATGTGCTGGAGAGTCCCACAAACAAAAGTTCAAACCAGAGTTTTTGTAACCCAACATGATGGTTCATGAATGCCAACTTTTTATAGGTAGTTCATTCGGGTTCAGGTGATCCTCGTGGAAACTGGACTCGCGTCCCAACTCGCTTTGTCCCCGAGTCTCCTCCACCATCGCCTCGAGGCGCTGGCCCACCTCTCGAACTTCGATTCGAAGCCCCAGATCTCCGAAAGGAATTCCTGTGACACCCAAAAGACCCAAGAAACCAACGGGAAGGAGCCTGTGGTTTGTTTCCCTTCTATAGGCATTGCTAGGCTGGCATCCGGCTTCAACCGAACTATTGCAACAAAAAGCTTAAGGCACCAACCCCCAAACCACAGGATTTTCCATACTGTGGATGGTTGCGACATCCATTTCGCACCACTTTGAAACCATGGTTGAGGCCATTGCTTGTTGGTTTTTACAGAATCGAATCATTCCAGGGATTCTTTGGTGCAAGATTCCGTCCATCTACACCTACTCAACCCGGAAGTAGGGCCCCATCGGATAAAATGGGCAATATGGGGGGCATTTTTTGGACCGACCCCCAACAAATCTCTCAAAACTCCTTCTCTGGGTGCTTCATTCCCCTGCGAGGAACCCAATTTCAGGGTTGCCGAAGGTCCGTGGCCAAGTCTTTCGTTGGTTGCGCAATCCGTTTCTCGCACCACGGTTTATGAAACCATGCTTGAAGCCATATTATGTTGTTTGTCTTTACGTCGGGGAATCATCATTCCAGACAATTCTCAGGTGGTGCGGAAGGAATTTCGCAACCATCCACAGTATCAAGGCCTTTGACCGACCTCAACAGTAAGGCCTTGGGACCCAGGGAAACAAACAACTATCAAGCAAACAGACAGACAGACAACAACAAAGAAACACACAAGGCAAACACAACACAACAACATTCAAGGCATGAATAATGATCCGATACCTCAACTTCAGCTGAGCTGCATCATCGCTGTACCTGCCAAGTCAGGGTCGAGTCGAAGGAACTTTCCCCAGGCCCAAGAGACTGGTCTTGCAATGCGGGATCCCCTGACCCTCTCACCTGGTGTATTGCTTACCCCTTAAAACTCCAAGCCCTGGGGAAGTTGATCTTTTACAGACATATAGCTCATGTTACCCAAAAAGTTGAGAAGTTGTGGTTTTAAGAGGTAAGATTGGGTTCTCTTCCGTTTCCCTTTGACAGCAATTGAGCAGCGCCCGAAACCCATTCACTTGCGGTTCCACCAAGATGGTGGTAAAGGTTTACGCAGGCCCTACTATGAACCCTATAAAACCAGGAACCAGTACTGCATCCTAACGTGACCAAAAGAGTTTTGGGGCGCTGATGAATTGAAACCATATCCTGCAGAAAGCCCAACTTTCGCAAGAACCCAGTGTCTCTCTTTAATTGCCTGACCCGCAAGAGGCCAATGATTTTGCATCATGCGTGCAGAAAGTTTGTGTGTCAAATTTCTTGGGATTCTGCTTGGATGACTTCTTTAGGCCGTAGATATTAGTTGCTTACTTTGTTGGGTGGTAATCCAAGTAATCCAACCGTTCAAAAACCCTAGAATGATGATTTCCCCTGTAAATACCACAAACATGGTTTCCCATGGTTTCAAATTGTTGCTAAATAGATGTCGCAACCATCCACAGTGTTACTCAGATTCAATTCAGGAAGAGCGATCGCCTTGCACAAACTTGCCTCACAGCCGCCAGTCAGAGCCTAAAGCAGAAATTGCCGTCCCCCCTCCCCTTGACCACCGAGCTCGCCCTGTTCAAATTCCTTGCTGTCACAGCTGACACATTTATTCTTCATAAATATGTCCAAAATCCAAAAAGAACGTCAAAACCGGGTACCTCCGGGTACTTGAGTTTCCCTTTCTCCCTTGCGCACCTGAATCGAATTCATGTGTTCGAGACTCAGAAAGCCCGAGGTTCCTTCAAGCTTTGGCTCAGGGGAATCGGCCAAAGACCACCCAACTGTCTGTTTGCCACGCAGATCTTCCCACAGAAAAGCACAGAAGAGTTCAGGAACTGACGGATTGAGTCGGAGTTCAAACAGGTATGCCTGGACCCTCAAACCGAGAATTGAGGCACAAGAAGATGACCCTCAAGCTCTTCCCTTTGCAGAGGCATGTGCTTTGGATTGGGCCAACCCATTGACTTTGCCTTTTGACATGAAAATGCCTTGGGCAGCCATGTGGGCATGGGTGGCAGACTGCATCATTGCATACGTACTGTGTGCATAGATAATGCTACTGTACATTATATGCACGTATGGGGTATATATTTCTCAAGGCAACGCCGCAAGCGGCATAAGGATAACCACTGACACACTGTCATGGTTAACCAGTTAGCTACAAGCACAAACGAAACATCATAACGCATCGGGAAACTCGGCATTTTCATGCATGCCCAGAACGAGACAGCCAATCAATTGAACTCAAACGCACCGCAGCCTTCAACACACCACAGCCTTTTGAGCAAGAACTCGCTTGGCTTGCTAAGACCCAGTGCCAAGAACTGCGCTGAGTATTGTGTTCCCCAGCCCAACCCTCCCTGAAAACCCTGGACAAGATCCCACCCCTGAAAACCATGAATGAAAACTAGCAACATCTAGCAACCGAGATAAAGTAACGGTCTTAAACCAACGCCTAGCAACTACCACCTGGAGTCTCCATGGCCTTTAACAACTGGTTGGGAATTACCCAAAACATTTCGGGTCATGGACCCAATTTTGAAGGGTCAGAGGGAGACTTCAGGCAGTTGTTGCCCCATGTGTTTCCAACCGCGTATTCCCCCAGGTGAATTTCTACCCCTAGGACCATTCAGCTGGCAAATGATCCCCCGAACCGCCAGCAACTCACTAGACTCTTTGCCAGCCTGCTTGATGGGCATATTCCCATCTGGGACTCCCAAGACCTGCTTGGCTGGCCTATCCGTGTTCTAAAGCCTTACTTCTTAGTGGTTTGATGGAAACTACCGCACTCAAAAACAAAAAACACCAAAAGCCGAAGAAGAGCTAAGGAGCCGGATGGCTGCTAGGTGCTCCAGAGAGGCTAGAACAAGGCTACCAACTTTTTTCTGTAGTCTATCTTAATAGGGGGTTGCCCCTCCGCCAAATAGGGTGAGAACGGGCAGGCTGGGAACCACCAATTTGGGATGAGCTCCTTTGCCAGCGGTTTCTGGCCGTGACTCCAAAGCTCGATCCCTTCGGAGTCTAAAAGCGCCAGTCGCGCCCGGCGGGCTGCTCCACTTCCACCTGCACGAAGGAAAAATGGTCTCGCCAACCGAAATTCCATACGCAAATGCCTGGACCCTCAAACTACCCATAAAATAGGAATTTCAGCAATTTTCTTTGCAATTTGTACACCCATTTTAACTCATCTTACACGCACACACCCATACGCACAAACGGTTTCGTGACTCAAAACTAGATCAAGACTTGTTGTTTTCCACTAGTCACACCAATAAAATCGTATTCCGTCCAGAAACTGGGAAAGAGAGTTGGCTATGGGGGGTGCCTTTGCTAGGATGTGTCTCAAAATTACAGGGGTCACAGGATTTTCCCCAAAATACAACATCACGCGACCTATACCCTCTCAACCAAAAAACAGCCCCCCTCCTCTGTTATACAATTTCTTTTGTTGAGCGCCCAAAATTGGCAGGTCTGTGGCTTTTTGGCAATGCCTAAAGCTGCCAGAAAAAAGAAATGTGTCCAACCCTAACTGACACAGCGCATCGGCAACTTGCTCCCTCCCTCGAACAAACGCACCAGATCCTTAGACTACTGAATTTCAATGTGGTTCCTTCGTGATCCGGGTGATTTAATGCCGGAATCTGGCAGGATCCGGCAACGTCCAAAGTCGTTGCCAGATCCGCCAGATCCTGTCCGATATGCTGCGACCGCTACTGTGCGCTGCCGCTCCCGGCCAAAAACGGTTGAGATTCACTTTTGTTCCCACGTGCTCTGCCATCAAAGGGTGGGAACAGGCCTCACAGACCCTAGGGGAAAAAAAAAAACGTGTTTGTATAATCCTCCGTGCTGCTATGACATTTTAAGGAGAGGCCTTCATCACGCGTTATCAAGGCACCAGGCGGAGGAAGCCGCCACTCGTTTAGCTGGCATGAACCGCCACGATGCAAACCCACTAAGTGGGCTGAACATCACAATATATCACAATAATTTGTTCACACTCTCCGTTTCATATGCAAAGAAATGTCAAAATCGAGAGTGACCGCTGGCATGTCATATGCTGATGGAGTAGGCTGACACGCGACTGGTGCCCACATTGGAAAGAGTGGGGAAAGAGTTGGGAGCCAAATGGCTGTGGCTCAACATTTAAGAGCTAGGGTTACGCAGGTTTTGGTTTCCATGTTTCCACTTACCAGGGCAACCCATTATAGAATTCCGGTTTTTTGCGCCATACCCAAATCGGGCGGCAAAAAGCAACTTAGGGGCACCTTCCCCATTCCATTCTTTCCAGAAAGCCTCCTGTGAAACCCGGGTTCAAAACATGGCGATCGGTTGAAAAGAACGACCAACATGAATGGTTGGAATCGACATTGGAAAATGTGTGTGCCCTTTTTTGAGGATACCTAGTTTATTTATTTTTTTGGTTTTCTAGGGGGGGGGGTTAAAGGGGGACCAACAGGAAAATCACCAATTTGGGGGGGGGGGTCCAATCTTTTAAAAAAACTCGTTCTTGCAACCACACCTTGTGGTTGGTGACTTCCAACTTTGGTTGTTCCATTCCAACCTTTTTCTGGGTAGTTTCCTGCACGTCCAGGCACACATGAGGACGAGAAAGCGCCCGCCTTCTCAAGCCACACCCCAGGAGTGCCGCCAGTACCTCCCAGCGTCAAACATCAAAAATCGCCGAGCTGGGACCGCGAAAGAACGTTCCCACCACTCAGACACCTGAACCCCAAGGAACTGCCCACAACAAAGCCGGGATTCACCAACTCTTACCGATTCTGTAATTTCAAACCACCTGAAATGTTCACACCCAGGCAAAAAGCCGGAATTCACCGATGACATAAAGATTCGGGTTGCAACTTGCCCCCATTTTTTTGGTTGGAAGTTTGGGTGGGTCCAGGCAGCGAAACTCCCAGGAACCGAATCCCTGAAAGCTGCCCCACACCACAGAGCTTGTTCGGGAGGCCCCGTAGCTTTCAGTTGGGGAACAAAAAAACGACTTGCCATTCATTTGGTGTCCCTTGAAAACCGCAAAGCTGTGTCTCGCGATAGGGGGCCCTAAAAAAGGTCCAATGGTTGGTTTCCCTTTTGTTCGTGTTTGAAAACCAAAAGGGGGTAAACGAAAGCGGGCTCTCCAAAAACACCCACACACCAAAAGCATGCCCTCAACAAAAGAAACACAGTCCATCCCAGGAAGCAGACAATCGACTTTCTCATAAGTGGCTTCCAGCACTCCAACGACCAAAAAGCAGGGGGAGATCAATGGCCCCAGAAAAATGTGTCTCAATGTGCTTGTGGACTTCTGCCTTTTGGGTTAACCAGTCACGGTGTATATATGTCTGGGATCGCTGGAAGTCGCTTAAAAATCCCGACTGGCATGCTTGGTTTCAGGAACAACCTCAGGCAGTTCCACCTACCCGCATGGTGGCTAAAGGGGTTTTCACCACTGGACTCTCAAGCCACCGGCAAAAACGAACGGGAAGCAAGCCCAAAATGGGGGCAATGGCCCTTTTCTCAAAGCGATTTTGAGGGTCCAGGTAGGAAATGGTGAAGAGGTTGCGGGCGATAGGCAGCACAAAACGCCAGCAACACTTGATGCATCCCACGAAAAAAGAGACATGCATCCGAGATTGCAGCAAAATCCAACTTCCGCCTCTAAGACATGTCAGCTAAATGCGTTCACCTCATTCATGTGACCGATGAGACCGCGCTTTTCCTCCAAACGGAACTGAGCTCGGCAAGCTTCCAGATGTTGCGGGAAGTGTCTTGGTCTCAACATGCTTGCCGTGTGACAGGGTGACACTAGGGAAAACAAGTCAACTGGGTGTGAAAATTTGACCCTCTAGAATTTTCTGCCACAAGCAGCGCATTGGCCCAGGTTTCTTGGAGCCGAAAGAAGCCTAAGGGGTCAAGGCCTCCACAGAACATCCGGCCTTGGGTACCTGGGGTTGCGATAGGGAATGACCAAGTCCGGGTGTTGGGAGAAGTGGTTTCGGGGATTCCCAAATGGGTATGGGTCAAAATGAAACCACCAGGCCACCGCAAGTTTTGGTCTATGTTTCCACTTACCAGGGCTCCATTTGAGGTACCTATTTTTGACCCACTGCCAAATCAAGGAAGCCACCAGTTGGATGGTTCTTGGGGTCATTCCATTTCTCATTCCCTGCTGAGAACCAGCAAGACGAACGCCTCGGTTCAGCCTCGAGGTTCTTCGATCCACAACTTTCATTTGCTTAACTCCTATCCACCGGGATTCCCGAGACGCCTACCTCAAGAGTCCACTAAGGATCCCCCTGTCTTGTTCCCTTGAGGGTTAGGACCCCATTTTATTGAAATATACCGGGGGGGCTAACCTTTTTTCCCAAAATAAAATGAGGGTGCTAACCCCCACAAAAGTTACCGACCAGGGGTCCCGCCTTGCGAACCCCCAGGCCATCCAATCCCAAATTCTACCTAAAACTCCCAAACCTGCAATGAGAAGTGCCCAAGTAGACACTACTTCAGGCGAACGATCTGTAACTCGGCATGATTGCCCACAAGTTGGTTGATTGCCCACAAAGAAAAACAGGAACAAAAACACACACACAGACTTACGACCTACTTCTTTACCGGCCCTACGAAACCCGACCTACTTCTCACGTGTTATTTCCTTCCCATAAAATGGGCAGATCGCTGCGTGTCTTCGTGGCTCCAGCCTCCGGAAAGGCAGCCCATGTCATTCAAGACCGTGGGCTCCGGAGCCGGCCTGCATCCACGACTCCCGGCAACTGGGTTGTTTTTTGGTGGGTACTCTTTGCCGCTGCTGAAGCGGCGGTCGTTGCCGTTGTTGTTGTTGTTGTTGTTGTTGTTGTTGCTGTTGTTGTTGTTGTTGGTGGTGGTGGTGGTGGTGGTGGTGGTGGTGGTGGTTGTTGCTGTTGGTATCTGTTGGTTGCTGTTGTTGTTGTGCTTGTTGTGGTTGGTGTGGTCGTTGTGGTTGGTGTGGTTGTTGTTGTGGTTGTTGTGGCTGTTGTGGTCGTGGTCGTGGTTGTGGGTGTTGTTGTTGTGGTCGTGGTTGTGGTTGTGGATGTGGTTGTGGTTGCTGTGGTTGTTGTGGTTGTTGTGGTTGTTGCGGTTGTGGTTCTGGTTGTGGTTGAGGTTGTGGTTGTGGTTGTTGTTGTTGTTGCTGCTGATGTTGTTGCTGTTGCTGTTGCTATTGCTATTGCTATTGCTATTGCTGTTGCTGTTGCTATTGCTATTGCTATTGCTGTTGCTGTTGCTGTTGCTGTTGCTGTTGCTGTTGCTGTTGCTGTTGCTGTTGCTGTTGCTGTTGCTGTTGCTGTTGCTGTTTCTGGTTCTGTGTCTGTTTCTGTTGCTGTTGCTGTTGCTGTTGCTGCTGGTGTTGTTGTTGTTGTTGTTGTTGTTGTTGTTGTTGTTGTTGTTGTTGTTGTTGTTGTTGTTGTTGTTGTTGTTGTTGTTGTGTTGTTGTGTTGTTGTTGTTGTTGTTGTTGTTGTTGTTGTTGTTGTTGTTGTTGTTGTTGCTGTTGCGTTGTTGTTGTTGTTGTTGTTGTTGTTGTTGTTGTTGTTGTTGTTGTTGTTGTTGTTGTTGTTGTTGTTGTTGTTGTTGTTGTTGTTGTTGTTGTTGTTGTTGTTGTTGTTGTTGAAGTTGTTGTTGATGTGTTTTATTCTTATTGTTATTGGTGTTATTGTTGTTGTTGGTCTTGTTATTGTTCTTGTTGTTGTTGCTGGTGTTGCTGCTGCTGTTGCTGTTGCTGCTGTTGTTGTTGGTGGTGGTGGTTGCGGAGGCGCTGGAAGTGTTGGTGTTGGTGCTGGAGTTGTTGCTGGCAGTGTTGTTATTGTTGTCGTCGTCGTTGTCCTTGTCGTTGTAGTGTTGGTTGTTGTGGTTGTGGTTGCGGTTGTGGTTGTTAGTGGTGTTAGTGGTGGTGGTGGTAGTGTGGGTGTTGTTGGAGGCGGTGGCGTAAGTGGTGTCATCGTTGTTGTTGTTGTGGCAAAGGTTGGTTGTGGTTGTGGCTGTGGTTGTTGCTGCTGTTGTTGCGGTTGTTGTGGTTGTTGCATTTGTTGCGGCTGCTGTTGCTTTTACTGTTGCTGTTGCTGTTGCTGCTGCTGTTGTTTGTGGTGGTGGCGGTGTGAGCGTTGTCGTCGTCGCTGTTGTTGTTGTTGTGGTTAAGGTGTTTGTGGTTGCTGATGCTGCTGGTGTTGCTGTGGTGTCGGACAAATAGTAAAACACAAATGCCAGAATCAGCGATACAACCAAACTGGGTACCCTCAACCCACACAAGCGAATGGATGGAGACCACATGCGCATGTGCACGCTCTTGTCATATGTTCATACATGCATCTGCACCCCCATTGAAAAAAGGTCGACCCATCTTGGATGAGGACAATCCTTAGGCAAATGGTGGTGGTTATATGAACCCTCCATTGTGTCAATGGTGGTACCTGAGCCCCCGGGGTACACGCGATGTAGGCATAAATGTAGAATACAACTTGTTCCACACTAATTCTGAACTACGATGCAGGTGATCTCTCGAAACCGCACCTACATCAAGGGAGTGTTCTCCCCCCGAATCAGCAAGCTCGCTATAAAGTTGGAAAAACGCACACGATACCATAATATGGGGTATGACCATGCATATGATATTATGATATGTTCAACGACATAATATACATATATATATATATGTATATATATATATATATATCATACCCAAATAGTCAAGTATCCCACGTGCTTGAGCCAAAATGGCACATTCCATTTTTGTCAAGCATTTCTCACACAAGCCATGTTTTTGCACAGTTCCAACATTTGCAAGTATCTTGGTTGACGTTGGAAGGGGAGCAAAACAAAAATAGCAGATAAGTGATTGGAATTCAACCACTAAACCACAATAAGCAAAATGTAAAATGTTTCCCAACAACAACCATGATATATCCCACTCGGTTGCTTTCGGCTCGCCAGCTAAAAGTTTAACTTTGAGCGGATTAATGGAAAACCCATTAGCTGGCAAAAAGTTAAAATCCTAACATCCAAGCAAAATGCACCAAAGCCAACACCTTCCAAGGGCTATCAACTATCAACTGGTACCTGCTTCGCAGAGACTTTTTCTGGGCCCCCCGGCTCGAAGTGCAGCCACCGCAGGATCTCTTGGCCTTCGGAGGGAAAACGCATCTCTTCGGATCAAGAACCTGGCGGTGTTTCTTGTTCAAGGTCCGCCCCCACACAAAAAAAAAAGGGGTTTTATTAACCACTACTTTTAGTAGTTCTTTGTTGAGTTAGTTTGGGGTTTAGGATTTCTTAAGAAATTTAAGAAAATAAGAGGTGTGTCCCCTTCATTTCCACTAAGACCACCAAAACCAAAAAGGTAGCCTGAAAAAAAAAAGACAGACCCCTAGACCCGCAACAAATCCCTCAAACATGAGAATGTTTGCAACCCGAAACTATGGAATTTGTGAACTCCCTCCCTTTTTATGGGTAGTTAAACCAGCTTGGCTGTTGGTGTCTTCATTTACTCTCTAAGAAGCAGAAGTTCAAATCCACAAACTACCGTTCCAAACCACCAATCAGGATCAACTTGAACTGTCTTTTTTCGGGGTCCTCCCAAAAACATGTGGTTTTCCTTTAGGTTTCCCTTTAACACCCCCAAAAGCAGGGGTTCCCTCAAAAAGACGCGCCAATGTGTGTGAGGATTCTCCAGAGGCAACTGTTGTGCAAACCGTGCTGGGTAAAAAACCCTCATTTCCCGGGATCCTTCCTGCCGGAAAGCCGCCATTGAAAAACAGCTGGTGGTTCAGGACACCTTCACACAACTTGATGAGGATACAAAAACAAGCCCATTTGGAACCGTCTGTTTTGAAGGGTACCCACTGGTTCTTGGCCTCATTTGAGAACACCAAAAGGAAACCCCGCCATTCTGCAGGGAGGGGGTTCCCTAAACAAAAAAGGGCCCACCCAAAGGCCGATGGAAATCACCTGCCTGTCCTTAAAAATCACCTGCAGGCTTCAGACTTAGAACAATTTGCTTCATACATGTATGCCATGCGTGTACCGGTTCAGGCAGGCCACCATGGAAACAATGGTAGGGTACCCACGTTTTCTTAGTTCACCACCCTTTACCTGAGGATTGTCATCAAAACGGGGCCAACCTGTGTATTTTAATGGGGGTTGAACCCAACAACTTAAGGCTACCGTTTTGTTGGCCCATCAACAAGCGAGTTTTTTTTTTTTCCATGGGTGGGTGGCCCCATCTCGGTTGCGAAATCTGCACCCCTGCTAAAAGTTTAACTTCTAGTGGTTTAGTGGAAAACCCACGAGTTGGCAAAAAGTTAAAGTCCTAACAGCCAAGCAAAATGCAACAAAGCCATGAACGTGAACTTGGGACGAATCCGGAACCCAAATCCATCATGTCCATACCAAAAAAGGACTAGCCCTGATTACAATCCTCCAGATGAATCTGAGGTCAACATTATTTCACCAAAGTCGCCGGCGAAGTGGTAAGCTAGAGGACACCCTCGGATTCCAGTTGACTTTGACAACCCCCAGAAACCGCCAAAGATTCCAAGTTTGCAGGAATGCATTGGCACTCCAGGATGATTCCTTGTACCATCGTGGCCTTGGAAAATGGGTGTGTCCTTTTTTAGGGAACCTTTAAAAAGCAGTAAACTTGGACTGCTGAAAGTTGAACTAGTGGTGATCGGAAAAATCGTCGATATTCCCCTGCACTATGGTGCGCCGCTGCTCCTGAACTACGGACACCCCACGAAACCATCTAACAACCTGACCTAAGGACCCTAATGGCTAGCCACCAAGACAGTGATCACCACGCCGCATGTGGCACACTAAAAAAAAGGAAGCGGGCTTTCATCCGCGACTTGTGCTTGAATGATTACCCGTAAGGATTTCGGGGAATCAATCCTGAACGGCACCGATTCAGAAAAGAAATACGGACACATCCAACCACTAAACCAAGATGTAAACACCTAAGCCCAATGGCTGAAGGGTACCTAGACAGCCTAAACAGTCCTTTCTAGAAAATTATCCCCAAACCTGGAGAAATGGATCTGGTTTTGGAAAAGAACGATGGCTGAAAAGAATGGACAAGGAATCAACCCCCAGAAAGACCCGCTTTCGCGCGCTTGCGCGCTTGCAGAAAAAAAAAAAAAAACTCCGCGCGAGGCGTTCGCCTGCTGGACAGGGCGGTGGAAGCGCCGGCGGCGGCGGCCGGGAAAGGACCTCGCCGGATCTGCGAAGGGAAGCCAAAAGGAGACCATCCAGGTATTCCACCAGTAGAGTCTCCTTCTGACCCTGGAAATCATACCCCCTGAATTCTTGTTGGTTCCACTGGTTCCAGGTACCCCGCCAAAACTCCCCCGCCCCTGAATGGCCCAAGACCCCCACCTTGGCATGAATTTTAGTGTGACCTGAACCCTCAAACTACCCAGTAAAAAAGTTGGAATTCACCAATTCCAGTTGGCGTTGCAACAACGCATTCTTAAGGTTGGAATTTTGGTTGGGTCCGGGATCCTATTTTGAGACAAAGCCAAATGGACCTTAAGTAGTCCCGTGCTTCCGCAACCCACAAGACTCACAAGACCCAAAGGTCTGGGTCTCACGGGTCTCTGGGAGTTGCCGTCGGCCTTCCTTCTGGTGTTTCTTGCAGAAATAAAGACCGTGAAGAAAAGGGGTACCAACTCTTCAAAAATGACGAGCCATCCATACTGCAACCTAGATTGCCAGGGTGCTGCTGGTTTCCAGACATGTTCCAACTCAAAACAGTCACAAATGGGTGAACACAAACGCAATGGCGATGACGATGGAAGCCAGCTTACAAGTGGCTCTACTGTGCATGGACGACATTCATTCCGCACCACTTGGAAACCATAGGAAACTATAGTGTTGATGGGGGAATCGAATCATTCCAGGGATTGAAAGTTGGTGCGAACAGGATTTCGCAACCACCGTATGGCTCACTTCCTGAGCAGATTGACTAAAACAAGTCACCAAACTTGGTTGTTTGCCCACCTTGTACTTATCTTCAAACTTGATTCAGTCCCCAGGAACAATCAACAATTACGTCCAGTAGTAGATTCGCTTTAAAACCAACGGGGGAGAACCAACATAGTCTCAAGCAGATGGAAGTTATAGATTTTGAACCCCGTTTTAGGTTGTCTTTTTAGGATTCTCCTTTTTCAAGCCTGCGAAATGCTTCCGCATTCGCTCTTTGAGATAGTCTTAGGATTTGCCCTTTGAAGCCTTTGGGATAGTCTTCGGCTTGCCACTTTTCAAGCCATTCCCTTTTTGTTTCTGCACGAAGCCCTCCAAGATTCACCATTTTGGATAGTAATCCTCTTCCCCCTTTTCAAGTGGTCAAGAACATCCCTTGGAGACATTCAAGCCAACCTGAAAGACACTTAAAACAGCCTTTCGGGCACAGTAGGCTCCCCATTGAACAAGAATCACAACATGCCACTTTGGTTGGTTCTTGTTCAAGGATTGCTTCTGTAGCAAACCAAAGGAAACTGGGCGTTGGTTGGTTTGTGGTTTGCTTGAAAGTGCAGAAGAGGAAAGTGCCGGTGCCGGAGGATGACAGGGAGATACGAAGCGCTAGGGACATGGTGGACAAGATTTGGGTATCTGCACCGTCAAAATTCCATCTAAAATTGGTGTTTGACCCAACATCATGAGTGAAGTTGGTTCAGGGGGGCCCCAAAATGGTTTGCTTCCCCCTTGTTCTCCCTTTTGATTTTTGAAAAGGGGCACAATGGCCATACATAGCGAAGCCCAAAAAGAAGAGGCGATTGTTTCCACCAGTGCGTGCGGCACTGTTGCTTATTTTGACAAAGCCATCATTTGAAAAGACGACGAGGCGAACCGGGAAGGACCGAATCCAAAAGTTCGTTGAGGGACCCGAGCCCAGAACCCCTCCTTACTGTTGGGTAACAAACAACCATTTTGAAGGGTCAGAAGGAGACTCCAGGTAGAGGTCAGAAACCTTGGTTGCCAGCGCAGTGGCGAAACGCGGGGACTCACCGAATACTTCTTGGGCACTTCCTCTGACTCTCTCACCGCGTCCCGCAAGTGCCTGCCTTCAGCACATCTTTTGAAGCTTCGCTCAACCTTGGGCAAAATTCGAGGCTTCGAGGGTTGTTTGGTACCTACCCGAACCCAACCAACACCTTAAACTTAAACATGGGTCACTGCAACCCAACATTATGGAATTCGTGAACTTCATTTTTTCATGGGTAGTTTGAGGGTTCAGGTGGGCAATTTGAGAATTGTGCAAAGTCACACAATTTCTTCCAACTGCTTAAGCCCCCAGGAAAAAAAAAGAGAAACTATGTCCAGTGAAATCCATTCTCTTTAACGCCAACAAGGAGAAAAACACTGAAACGCAAATGGACGAATTCTGGCAGAAAATGCTCGTTTCATCCAAAACCGCCCCCCCCCCCCCCCCCGGGCGAAGGCTTTGTTCTCCCTTGCTTGGCTTTATTATTCAAGGCTCAGCAAGCTCCCAAGCCCGGGTTCTATAAACCAACGGAAACAGCGCCCCCAACTCGGAAGAAAAAACAGACAGGCGGCAGGTGAGTTCTGGCCTTGGGTGAAATAAAGCCATTGTTTGTCCAGGCCTTGGTCTTTGAATTTGGGGTGGCACCAGAAGGGCATTTCCTGTGTAGCATATTTCCCTGCATCGCCCCCCGAAATTGCCACAAGGTGGTCTACATCTAGCCCAGTGATTCCATTTCCCTGTACTGCCTCAGTACTGCTTTCTAAAAACCAAAGGAACATGGCAAAGGGTTTCCCACTATAGTGGCAACTGGGATCCACCGGATAGAATGCGAGAAGCAGAACTGTGGTGACTGAAAACGAGGCCTTGCTTCCGGGCGCGGGGCAGCTAAAATGCCCCGGTGGCCATGGGAGAAAGAAAAAGGGGCCGCACCTTTCTTTTTTTTGTTGAGTTTAAAGGCATCGGAACCCTTACCCCCCAAAATAAGGTTGAACAAAGTTGAAGCAACCCACTGGGCTTCCAGATGTGTGCAAAGAATGAGGGAGGAATGGGCTGAGACGCCGACAAAGGCGCGTCAGGCACTTCAGGCGCGGCCAACTTCAGCGCAGTGTCAGGCGTCGGAGCCTTCGTCTTCGGCTCTGCCAATGTCATCCGGTGGCCCAGTGGATCCCACATACCACTAGGTAACCAGCAGCTACTGAGCCACTTCCCTTGTCAGACCCCACGGAACGCTGAGAAGTGGACAACTTTCCGTGGGCGAAATTCGGAAAACCCCACCCACGAAACACTTGGCCAAAAGGCTCCAAGAAGCCAAAACGAACCGGACGGCCTTCGGCTTCGCCCAGAGCCAATTTGTCCTTCGGGTTCTAAAGGCCGGTTTTCCTTGGTTGACCTGGTGATCTTCTCTTACCCCTGAAAAAACTCCGTTAGCAACCTGGGGAAGTTCTCATCTTTTACAGACATATAGCCCAGGTTACCCAAAAAGTTGAGAAAAGTTGTGTTTTTAAGAGGTAAGTTCTTTACAGGTAGATGGAGTCACTGGGCTAGACATAGCTGTGGACTCCTGCGCCACGAAAGGAAACCCTGGAGTCTCTCTTGGGTACGTTCTGCGGTTCAGGGAAGCTTGCGTCCATTCGGTTTTCCCCTCCCGCCGGTGGAACAGAACTTGCCTCGGGTCCCAAGTTTGAGACCTTTCGGGGTCCAAAGCCATCAATAGTTAAGGTTTAGTCTGGAGTCTCCTTCTGACCCCTTTAAAAATGGGTCCATAACCCCTTTGGGTAATAACCCCATTTTTGAAGGGTGATGGAGACTCCAAATTGGGCTCCAAGGACACCCAATACTTACAAAGATTAAGTAAAACATAGGCTTTGAGTAAAACATGGTCGGGCCCAAGTTTTACTAGTAAACAAGCGCCCAAAGTAAACTCGGACATGGACGTGCTGGGATAGGTATTCTGTGTTTTTCCTCTTTTTTTTCAGGTGTTGAGTGCGGCGCAAACGCTCGTACGACGAGTTCCACAGAAATAATTCGGGGCCCACGAAGCACCAATTGCCGAACAGGACGCAACGGAGTATTTCTTTTTTTTTGAGGGGAGGGGGGGGGGGTGTTTGGTTTTGGGGGGTGGTGGTGGTTTTTGGTTTTTGGGGGTGGTGGTTTTGGGGGGTGGTTTGGTTTGGGGAGTGGTTTGGGAGCTTGTTTAACTACCGGGTCCCTACCGTTTAGGGAGCTTTAGGGAAACCCCCCTTGGACCCCCCTCGTTTGGGGAAGTCATGTTGAAACTGTTTTTATAATGGTTGGTTACGGCCTCCGCTAACCGAACAAACTCAGATTGAAAGTCAGATCTTGGGCAAGTCAAGCAACATCTCGCAGCCTAGTGTTTCTCTTTTCTGTTTTCTTCTGAGGGCAAATGCCTAAAGCACACAGAATGCCAGAATTCAAGAGCGAAGAAGCAAAGCAAGGCGGGTTGTTGAAACCAACGGCAGAAAAACAAACAACTTACAATATATATATATATATGCACATATTAATGATATGTTACAATTGAAGAACAAGGGCGGGAATCATGAGAAACCCACTATGCTAGTATGCGGAGCACAAAAAACAGTCACATGATGCGGCCCTGTTTGGACCTTTTGATTTGGAGGTTGCATCCCAGGCAATGAGAGAACGCACTGCAGGTCAGAACACGGATTCTGTACTGCAACGGGCAACCGGCATCACTTTCGGATTCCCAGCTTTCGTAAAAGTTTCCTTTGGATGTGTCAAGATTCCCCTGCATTTCTCAGACCTTAGTTAGGTTATCTTTCGAAGCAACGACAAGGGAAATACTTCCCTCATTCCCTACTGAGAACCAATGAACCAGCAGGTTGGTTTGGGTTGGATTAGCTTCGGAATAATTCATGCCATGCTAGTTTGAGGATGCCCCCAAAGTGACGTCATTCAGCACTAGCATGGAAAACTCAGGTAAAATCCCGAAACGGTTCATTCCCAAACCTGTTTCCAATTGTTTTCCATCCTGGGATGGTGCATTCCGGGCTTCCACATCCCCGGTTGCTTCGGGTCGAATCGGGTGTGAGTAATACTCACTTGCCCAAAGGACCTGGAAATAAAAGGCGAACCTTTTGTGACCATGACTAATGGACCAAAAAGGGAAAACCAAAAGGTCAAAAGGGTCGATTTTCTTTGGGCAAGTGATGTTTTTGAATTTAAAGCAACTAAGACTGATGATCCTACTCAGAACCATAAGGGACGCTAAGACCATGAGGAAACTCTTGGTTACAAGCACGAACCTCTCTCTCTCTGGTCGTTGGCTCAAGCGCAGTGTCTCGACCTCAACAAAGTCGTCTTCCCAACATCAACACGCCACCAGAAATTAAACAATCAGAGGGTCCAAGGACCTCATAATTGAGGATTTGGAGAATCTGTAATTGACGAATCCCCTTGAACCAAACCCAAAGCCGTAATTGTGGGGTACTTAGGACCCTCCTGCCGCCCATGCTGATGCAGGTTTCTCTGATCTTTGGCACGACGCAGCAAGCACATATTTATGAGAAGCCAGCAAGACGTCCAAACATTTCTGGGACCACCAAATCTTCAATGTAAATATTCATCAACCTGCAAAACCATAGGGACAGCACCAAATATCAATCATGTTACCCCGATTGTACGTCGTTTCTATGGGCCAATGTGGTTGCCAGAAAGGTCGTCACCCTTAATTGGAGTCATTGAAGACACTCTTAGAAACACACCGGATCTTGACATATTTGGCCTTCAAGCATAAAGAATGGCGGAACAATCTACATGGCCGTGAAAGCCAGACTTGACCATGGTTCAATTCACCACTGTTGACACAACCGCCATCGTCTAAGAAATTTGCGATCATCTATATGGGGTTCTTCCGATTCTTTTGGGGGCAAGGAACTCTAAGGCTGAGCTCAAGACACGGTGGATGGTTGCGAAATCGAGTTCGCACCGCCGTGAAACCATGGTTGACACCATAACGTTTCTTGGTACTTGCGTTGGGGTATCGAATCATTCCGTTGGGTGTCTCAGGTGGTGCGAGACTCGCGGATTTTGCAACCATTTAACCTAGATTGTTTTTTAAACCTAGAGACTCCATGACCCTAAACAAATGGGGTTATATCCTCTTAATGTTCGGTCATGACCAACCTTTCTTTATTTCGGGTCAGATCCGGAGACTCTAGGTAGAACACAGTACCATTGAAATTGTATATGGAACCTGGAGAAGATATCAAAAACTCCCCCCCCACCAAAACTCCAAGCAAACCCATTTGAGTCACAATCAAAACCCGGTACAAAAATGGTCGACCCAGAACCATGCAAAGAACTAAGAAGGCGGCCGCAGCTATTTATGGCTGGGATCGTCCCTTACTAACCTTCACTTACCCGGGTTTTGATTGTGGCTCATTTCGAATCCAACCCGGCGGTGCCTCAGGCGCCGCCTTGGCGTTGGCCGGCGGTGGGGCTCCTGAGCCTGGAGCGTGCGGAAGAGGACCCGAAACAACGACGACCCAAGCGACATGATCTTACTTAAACATGGGGTTGACTGCAACCCAAAAAGTTATGGAATTGATGAACTCCAATCTTTCTTTGCCATCCAACATTTTGGGGCACTAAAGATGGGCTTGACTGCAACCCAACAAAGTCATGGATTTGGTGAGCTCCAAAGGTTCTTTCTGGGTAGCCTGAGGGTTCAGGTTCATATAAAAAGGCAATTCACCAAAACCCGTGATTTTGGGGCAAGACCCGATGTTTAAGTTGGATTTTTGTTTTGGGTCCGGGAAGCCACGCCTGGCTTCCTTTTCAGGGAATCCCGAGCTATCAGCACCCAACTCTGACACCGCTCAATGACAAAAACCCTGCCGAACTTTCCTCAAGACTCCTGGGACCGTGTAAAAGGTTGATCATGCTGTGGATGGTGGTGAAATAAACCCAACGGAGTGATAAACGATTCCAAGGTAAATACCAAAGTGGCTTCAATACGTGGTGCGAAATGAATTTCGTCCATCCACAGAATTGAGGCCAAGTAAGCTACATCAATCAACCTTGAAGCCGCAAAGTTCGCGGCTGCCCCGAAGAGTTTACCGTTGAAGCCCGAACAAGGGTTGCGAGGGAGACACATCCCGAAGCAAGATGGGGATGACTTGGCCCCCAACTGGACAACACAGCCACCCCTTCCGCGGCAAGATGTGTCATCACTGCTTTCGCCCTCGCAAGAATTGCTTCAAAGGCCTTCCTAGAGTCTCCCTGACCTGAAATGCAAATGGTTGGTCAGAGCTGGAGACTCCCGGTGTATGGGGTGACCTTTTTTTTTGCAGGTATATATATATATATTGATCTATGATTGACTCGTTATGGCTACTAACCACTTTCAATTGCCCTGAGGGGTTCGGGCTCTTCATTGGGTCCTTCAAGGGCTGTCTCAGGCAGGAGATGTTTCGCCCGAGAGGCCAGCTGGCTCATTGGTCTTGCTGCTGCGAGATCGGGAATGAGAAACGGCATGAACCGCTTTGGGATTTCCTAAAAAGAAGGAATCCATAGGGGATGGCTTATAGGGGTCATTCCCTCATTCCTGCTGAGCACCTATTGATACCTATTGACTTGGCTTGCGGTGCTGCGATAGGGAATGATGACTACTGTGGATGGCTGCGAAATCCGCTTCTCGCACCACCTAAGCAACCCAACGGTTGCTAAATTCCCCAACGTAAATGCCAACAAACCCTATGGTTTCAATACACCGTGGTGCGAGACTTGCGGATTTCGCAACCATCCACAGTATGGCTATCTCCTCTCTGCATTGCTTCCATCCCCAGCCCAGTGGCCTGACTTGGACTCTGCCGGCCTGGCATGAAAGACTTGAGCGGAATGGATCGGCTATCTTTCCAACACACCAAGGTCACCAAATCTCATACTAAATCAGACTTAGCCAAGAAACCAACTGGAACAAGTAAAGAACATGTCCCAGCCGCAGATCCAGTCCTACCGGGGAACATTTTAGAACCAGCACTAGACCAACACTAAATCAATTGGTTCCACCAAATCAAAACCAGCACAAACAAAAAACAATAATTTGATTTCTGCTGCTGAAACTCCTTACTGCAATGTTGAACGGCTTTGAAAAAGGGGGGATTTGGACGCGGACCGCAGCGGAACCAACTTGGGGCACAAATGTACCCTATCATTTGCCCCTCCCGGCAAATATGTTCACTAGGGCAGGCAGTGAAAATTGACCCCTCAGGAAAAAGTCTCATTTTGTTAAGCATCTACGAAAAGTGCTTCGCGAGATAAAAAGCAACTAGTTTTCGAAACCCCTATTACCAGTGAACCGCCTCAAACCCCCCGCAGCATCCTGTAACCCCTTGCCATTGGCAGCCGGTCGTCAATTAAAGCCACGAAGTCCAAGTCGCAAGTGCAGGCACACCTCCAGGACCCAATGGCCGGGTTGCCTACAAATGCATTCTTCTAGGGCTACCTTCCATTTCCATTCCTTCCCTTCATCATTCTTTCTACAAACCCACCCAAAACCCTGGGGAAACAGCTAGTTTTTGAAAAAAACGATGGTTGAAAAGAATGGGGACTCAAACCTAGAATTCCGCGTGATATTCCACTCGGCGCCCGATCCAAGGGGCGCAGGGATATCGGCGTATATCCAGCGCAGATGAGCTGTGAATGAGCGATGCCTCCTCTGGCACGTAGCATCGAATCGTTCTGGATGTCGATTCTTCAAGTCTCTTCAAAAGCTGCTTGCAACCTCTGCACGCGCTGGCCCCGTGTGGAATTTCACATCCCAAATGAACTCGCTCCACACATGTACGAGACATTGATTCGCTCGAAGCTTAGCGTTCCCCATTGAAAACACGATTCGAGGCATTCACACACACACACACACCAAACAAAGAAAAACACATCCTGGAGATTCATTCTTCGGCCTTGTCCTAGACGTTTTGGTTTTCTGGTAGTTTTGGGCGTGTTGGGCACTCTAAGATATTTCCAGGAGTTTTGGGCGACCCCGAAACCAAAAAACATATTATGTTTAATGATTTGCGGGCGTTTGCGGGGTTTTGCGGGCGTTTGCGGGCTTCTTGCGGGCGTTTTGCGGAGAATTCTGCAATCTCACGAACATATAGGAGTTGTCACCCGCTGGGTCATTGTGGGGCTCATGAGTTCTTATAGGTGGCGATTCGGGCAGTAAACTCCGCCTTGGCAATTCTATCCACGCCCGAACCTGCAACTCCCCAATGCTAATCCCTGCAGAGTCACCCCGGGAGAATCAGTGAATTGGTCGTTTCCTGGAATAGGGCTTCATCTTGCAAGGAAGTGCCCAACCCCCGTTTCTTGATCTAGAGTTCGAAGTCACTTTGAACTGCTTGGTGCATATCTTCAACTAATAGGTGGCAGCCCCACAAGCTTTTGGGACAAGCAGTAGACGTCTTCAAACGCCCATGTCTTTGCGGAACATATGGGTATGGGTCGAAAAAAACATGGGTCCCTCAAAACTGCCTGGAGTCTCCTTCTGACCCTTCAATAGATCCACAACCCCATTTTTTTGGGGGTAATGATCCACCATGTTGAAAGGGTCGGAAGGAGACTCAGAACTGCCCGTGTTGGGACAAAAGCGTGCCACTCAACGCTCAGCTTCTCTCACCCGATTCGATTGCCAGCCTCTCAGGCTGTGGCACCTGCGGACGGTCGAATCTAAGCATCCAGATGCCCAGTGGATTTTCATGGGAAAAGACTTTCTCGGACTCGAAATCTTGCACCACCTAAGAAACCCTGGAATGATGATTCCCTTGTAAACAACAACAAAAGATGGTTTCCCATGGTTTCAAAGTGGTGCAGGATTTCGTCCATCCACAGTATTTCGTCCATCCACAGTACTTCTGTTGCAATAACCCATGCTTACGTTGGAACTTTGAGGGTCCGCTACCCAAAGAAATACGCACCATTTGTTTGCTTGACCTCCAGGTATGGTGCTGAAACTATAGCCGCAAAAACGATTGTGAGTTGTTCAAGGGTTTCAGGCAAACTTTGTTGCTTACCACCAAAGTGGTCCAGACCCAACAAGTGTTTCAAGTCCATGCAGCAAGTGAGACATAGTGGATGGACGAAATCCGTTTCAACCCACTCTGTGGAACCGGCTCATTCCGTTGGGTTTCTCCAAGGTGGTGCGAGAAGCAAATGGACTTCGCAACCATCCACAGTATCACCAATTGCTTTTTGGTCTGAAATCACTCCCACTTTATGGTTGTCTGAATCACTCACTCTTGGTCTGAAACCACCTGGAGTCTCCTTCTGACCCTTGAAAAATGGCTGGTCATTATCCAAAATAACGGGGTCATTGACCCATTTTTGCTTCGGGTCAGGAGACTCACAGGCACCCCGCTTTTGGTGGTTGAACCACTGAGGCGTCGTTCCGAAACCGCGGGTCCCTGGCACGTAACCACGTGGCCTAAACCTGGGCTAAACCGTGAGGACGGCAACAAGCTGCTCCAAATCAGCTCCAATTGATTTGGCTTGGTGCTTGCTTCTCAGCTTCTCAGTGGAGCCGTTAGAGGCTTGGTGGCTTCCCATCTACCCTTTTACAAGAACCAGGGAGCTTGGAACTTTCAGGGTCCAGGCAAACATATATATATATAATATTAGATAAATATACTATAATACATATATATATATATATATATATATAGTACAATATATATAAATAATGATATATATATATATATATGATCAACCCAAAACTTCTTCGAGTCTGGCCTTGGCCTTCTCCGGCTGCGAGAGAAGCGGCCTGCCAAAGTCGTCGCACCGGAGTCGGCTCGCTGGGAGCGTCTAGCGACTCAGATTTCGCCCCATTCCTAGGTCCAGTGGAGAGGTTAGGAGGGTACCAACTTCTTCTGTAGTCTGTTTTAGTAGGGGGAACCGAATCTCCCAACCAAAAACAATGGTAAAAGGGCACTGGGGGACCTAGGTTCTATGTCGGTTCTATACTGATCAGCCCGGTCCACCGATTCAGAGCCCAGTCAAACACTTCGCGGCCACTGGTGACGATTGAAGGACCAAGGCCAAGAAACAATCCCTGACTTTTGATTGACAGTACCTGGAGTCTCCATGACCCTTAAAACATGGGGTGATTATCCAAAATATAGAAATGTGTCATGGATCCCCATTTTTACTTCGGGTCAGATCCGGAGACTCCAGGTACCCGAAACCCAACGGAATGATAAACGATTCCCCATGCCCCCCAAAACTGGGTTTAATCACGGCTTCATGTTGTTCTTGCGAAATGGATTTCGTCCATCCACAGTAGTAATTATAGTCATCCCAAGCCCTGTGCACTTCCATTGCTATAAGTCAGGATTGAATTTGGGTTCCCCAAAAGGCCGGAACTTGGTTGACCTTGGAAGGAGAGCAACAGTTTATTTCTTAGCAGTTTAGTGGGGAATTCAACCACTTAACCACAACAAGCAAAAATGTAGCTATCTGTTTTGCGACATCTAAGTGGGGCCATCCCTATATGCGAGTAAAAGCCAGAAAGAAGCTACAATGCCCAACGCCTGGTATGTTCCAAAAAGCATTGCTCTTGCAGGCCCCAACTATTAGCAGAACCATAAAAGAGATCAACACCTGAGTCATAATAAACACCTGGTATTTAAACGGTCTACCCAGAACCGTGCTTCAGGAATTAGAAAGCCGGATACCCGCAACCATGCATGGCAAGGGGATTCTCCTTTCAGCTTCGTCCATCCCCGAATCGGTTTTGAGGACGTGGCTCACCCAAAAAAACCGCGTACTGGGAAAAGTGAAGCCAACGGCTGGTGGCCTAAAGCTAAACCCCGAGCTTGCAGCCTTTTCAAGGCATGTCCATTCCCAGGGGTATGGAAACAAGAGGGCGATCAAGATCCCCTTCGGGTCCCGGGTCACTTTGCCCATTTGATGGGACATATCATCTTTTTGGTGGCTTCTCGCCAATGATCCCCCCATGTCATCCCATGTATCACGGACCTGTTGACCAACCCCCACGAGGCAAAATGTTACACTGGACAACCGTTGGAGGTGCTTGTTGTTAAATCCACCTGTTCTTTTTTTTGCTGGTACTAGCTGTTGCTCTTTTAATTTCCAGGGGATTCCCAGATTCGCTGCATCCCACCCGTTTTCTGAGTAGCCACCTGATTCCAAGTAACAAATACGTAGCTACAATATATGTATATATATGCATGCATGTATGTATGTATGTACGTATGTATGTAACCCACTTAGAGGACTTAATCACCAAGGATACTGTGGATGGACGAAATCAGCACGTAAGAAACACTAGACTGATGATTCCCCTGTAAATAACAGCAAACGTTGTGGTTTCAACCGTGGTTTCGTTTTGTGGTGCGAAATGGACTTCGCCGCCCAGTAGTTCCCTTTGCAACATCTAATGCATCCTTACATCCAAAAGTGCAAGATTGTGTTCTCATGTCAGGTTCCCTGCAGATGTATATATATATATAATATATATATATATATATATACGCACATTATCTATATACCTGGACCCTCAAAATGCCCCTAAATATGAGCAGCTGCCGCAACAACTATGGTTGGTGAATTCTCTTTTTATTTATGGGCAGTTTGAGGGTTCAGGTACACTAAGAAAACATATTAACCAAGGAGATGGACCACGCAAGCGGTTGGCGGATTACGCCCGGTTTGGTTTCCGATTCCGGAGAGACGCCTGCCGGCAGGCATTGAGACCGGCTTCCTGCCACTGGCACGGGTCGGGCATGGACCCTCAAGCTTCCCCAAGGATTTGTTCACCTTATATGCTTGAGGCGGCAACAAACAACCACATGTTTTACTGGATTCCTGAGGGTCCAGGAAGGTTATAAGCATGGCTTCACGCCAACCAGCGTTCTCACTTCGCTGTTTCCTAGTTACGTGGGATCCGCATCGTGGTCGCGGGAAGTGGACAAATGGGGTCAACCCTGAACTGGCTTTCCCAATGCAGATCGGCACGCGAGAACCATGGGTGCTCAGCCACCACGCTTGAGGAACTCTAATTGCACCTTCTAAGCTGGAAACCTGGTCCAGTAACAAAAACGCAACTTTTGGAGATACAGACATGCTTTGACATTGGGTGGCCTAGGTTCAAGTCCACATCGCCCAGGAGTCAACCCTGTAGCTTACACATCAACTATTTACTGCCTATGCCCAACATCAAATGGTATTATTATTTTTCCTGGGCACCTTCTGGTTGGTTTTAAAGGGAAACCAAAGGGGACACCGAAGCCATTTTGGTGGTCCAACCTCAATTACCTGTTACAACGACAAACCCAAGTGATGGTAACAGGTCAGGTTCGTAGGTGTCCGTTTGGTAACATAGATGGCCCTGGTATATGGGGCATGAAACCCATCTAAACCAGTGCCATCTATTTCTAGCCGAAAAGGACGGAGTCAAAATCAAAACCTGATACAAACATGGTGAACCCAAAACCATGTAAATAGTTACCAAGGCGGATATTCGCACAGATTAATGGTTGGGCGTGTCTCTGAACCTTCATCTACCCGGGTTTTGCTTAATAGCCAGTAGAGTAAACCCATCTAACCCAGTGGAACCAATCTACTTCTAGCATCTTCTAACCAAACGAACCGATCGAAAGGACGCCTATGGTTTGTCTTTGGGGGGTTGCCAGCACCCAATGTGCTTCTTCTGATGCCCCTCCTCGCTTGCTCGCGCTCCCCATCGCGGTCGCGCTCCCGTCTTGAGAGACGCCGCGCCTCACCTCAGGCGTGCGCGTGCCATGGCTTGGGAATCTGCTTTGTGTTTGTGTCAAAATAGGATCTGTTTGGGGGTTCCTTGCCCCCATTCAAACAATGGTCTTGGGACCCAAATTGGATGAACATCCTTAGGATAATCATGGTGGCTATACTAACCCCGGTTGTGTTAATGGTACCTTTGAACCCCGAGGAATTTCTGGAACTGATTTTTGTCCCTCAGCCCAAAAGAAAGCTCGTAAAGCACATGGTGAAAGCCTTAAGAGGTTGATGAGCATCCCTACCAAGTACAGGAACCCTTCCAAGATTGAAAGAAGCTATTGATCCGTCCAACGGCCCGATCGGCATCATAGACTTTTTGGGAAAAAGACTGACTCCCCTACCTCGACCCAAAAAAACTCCAACTCAAAAATGGGATATGGCAACCCAAGATTAAGGTGGGTCTTCTTTTTAAAGGGTAGTTTGAGGGTTCAGGTACGTATATACAAATATGGCTTCTTGCTTGCTGTTGACCCCTCTGCAAAAAGTTTTTAACTTTGTGTGGGTTTAATGGAAAACCCACCTTGATTCCAACCGAAAAGTGAAAGTCTAAAGATCTGAGCCTTCCGCCTGCCCAAATCAGCCCCGGAGCGGGAAACCGGGGCTTGTTGCGAGCTCGGAGACGTCTCTGTTGCAGGTCCGGGAGCCGAATTGGTTCGAGCGGTGGCCGAGGTACGTCCGAGTCTCCATATGACTCGGTGGGTCCATGACCCTCTTATTTCACTGGTCAGCTGTGAGTTGCTTAGTGAGAAAAAGCAACCTCACGTTTTGCTTAGCACTAAAATGGCAACCAAACCCAAAAGGTGACTATTAAAAAAACACAAATGCTGGTTATTCCCAAAAATATAGAAATGGGTCATGGACCCGTGTTTGATTCGGCTCAGATCCGGAGACACACATGGGTGATGTTTTTCCTTTTATGGGTCGCTTCTTTTCATGCAAATGGCAACCAAACCCGAAAAGTGACTGGTGGTTGTCCTTTTCTATGGGTCGTTTCTGTTCATGCGTGTGCAAATGACAACCAAACCAAGCCCCCCTGAGCCCTAAGGTTCCTTCAGGTTTCCTAAGCCTCAAGGTTCTCGAAGGATTCTGTTCCTTTTATGGGTCGTTTCGTGTCATGCAGATGGTAACCAAACCCAACAAGTGACTAAAGCCAATGTGAACCAAATGGTCACAATCAAAATCTGGTACACAAATGGTGAACCCAAAATGTAAGGAAATACGGCTGGCATTGTCCCTTACTAACCTTCATCAATCCCCGGGCTTTGATTGTGGCTCAAATGGTCGCAACCATGTTCTTGCGGAGCGGCCATGGCGGTGGACTTGGCACCAATCGGCCTCCTGATGCAGCGATTCGCGCGAAGGAGGTTGGGGGCAGGTTTGGGGGGGGAGGGTGGGAGAGGTTTGGTGTTGGGGTTGGGTTTTGAGGGGTTTGGGGTGTGTGGGAGCCGTTTGACGTAATAAACGGAGAGAGTTCGACAACACGGAGCCCGCCCAGTTTTGCCACGGATGTTCGCTGGAGACCTGGAGAACTGGTTTGAAAAGCAACTGATGTTGGGGTGTGCCTCTTTTTATGGGGACCGGCAACATTGCCATAAAAGGTACCATCAATAAAAACCAGAACACAAACAGGACCATTCTTTTGTAAAGGACCATTCTTTATACAGGACCATTCTTCTTTAAAGGACCATTCTTTTATTCCCCAGCAGCTGAAAGCTAAGGGGTCTCAGCCCAGATAAGGTTTGGGGTTCGAGCAAGGTTCCGGAGGGCTGCGGGGTGGTGCGAGCACTAAGAAAGAGCACCGCATGCCGTTGGGGATACCACCTGAGCTTATTGGTGTCTCCCTTTTAAAACCACAAAAAACAAAACAAAAACATCAACACAGGTCCACTCCTCCTCCTCCGAGGCAGGTGGATCTGGCCGAGGGATTCCCACAGGCCTCGAGCAATGCGAGCAATGCCAGCAACGCAAGGTCCAAGAGGCCGTGAAAAAGGCCCTGCAAACTACCCATAGAAAAGGCACATCACCCATGGGGAATGTTGAGTTGACTTCCTGGAGTCTCCTTCTGACCCTTAAAAACATGGGTCCAACCTTCATGTTGGGTGATTCCATTTCTGGAGGCCCACGGAGACTCCAGGTACCCCTAAAACGGTGAAACTTGCAACCCATTTGAGTGGGAGATTTATGCGTCCAGGTTTTAGCCACACCTAGGGACCTTGACTCGAACGAGAGGATCTTTGCAAGGCAATGGTAGACAGGGAAGAAGGTGAACAAAAAGATAGGTTTCGGGTCTGAGGGGGACCTAGAGTCTCCATGAGCCTAAAACATGGGGTCATAACTTCTTAATTTTGGGCAATGACCCCATCTTTAAAGGGTCATGGAGACTCTAGGGTCCTGCTATTCAAACGAGAACTAAAAAGGACACCTATGGGCACGACTTGGTGTCCCATTTTTTGCGTGACCACGGTTGGTCAGAAACCGCCTTCCGAAGCCGCAAGGGGCCATACAAACCACTCCCCACAGACCCCCGCAGAGTGTGCTTTATGGGAGGCCAAGCAAGTTGTACAAGGCTAAAGTTGACCAAACTCTGGGTTTCTTGGCTGACAGCCAAGCCCTTCCCAGTGATTTTTCATGTCCCGATTTAAACCAAAAAAAAACGGGTTGGAACTCGCTTGCGTGGACGGGCCCAAAAAAAATCGAGGCCGTCCGCCGCCAGCAGATCGAGCAGATGCCGCACGAGGCCCCGGCTGGGGGATGACCTTCGCCTCCTGCGTTTTTCGATTTGTCTCCGGCCCAACACATCCGGAAGACCATCATTTGCGGATACCCCCCCTGAAAAACAAAAACATTGAAACATATTGTTCCAATAGTACCTCAATTTGCTTAAGCCGCCTGGAAAAAAAAACACGTTATGTTCCCAATAGTTTCCCCATAGTCATAGACTCCCTTTAAAGCCAGCAGGGGAAAATGACATGGGACAAAATGGGCACCTGAAGCCTCAAACTTCCAACTTGAATATGCGAATTCTTGCAACACACGAATTCTGGGGTGTGGTGTTTTGTTGTGGGGGGGGGGGGAAGTCGTTGAAGGTTCAGGTTGTGTCTTTTGTTGTAGGGACCCGGTGCCCTGTTGGCTTCGCTTTCCACCAAAAGACCCCACCTCCACATAGTGAAAGAAACACTGAAGCACCTGGAAAAGTCTTCAACTGTACGTCAGAAGAAACTTTACATCCACGCCATGAACTGTACTTTACGGAGTACTGGCTGACTCGGAGAACGTCAGAAGTTCTCGGTAACTTTCTGCTCCCCTGCTAAAAGTTTAACTTTTAGTGGTTTAGTGGAAAACCCATTAGTGGGCAAAAGGTTAAAGTCCTAACAGCCAAGCAAAATGCACCAAAGGGTTGATACCATTCTGACATAACTCGGGCAAACATCACCGCAAGGACCCAACAGCGCCCGTATCCTCTTTCCCGCCAACGTTTTGGGCTTCTGAAGCCTCACTTTGGCGCAAAAAGGCTTACGCCTGATCTGCTTAGACGATATTTCCTCCCTCAAGCACCAACAGGAAGCTGATTCGTTATTGCCTCACGAGGTGCTGCTAAAAGAACACATGTCAGGCAGCCATGCAGGCAGACAGCCCATTTGAGATCGTCCTTGTGATTTCCCTTGGAATCAAAGCCCAACCACTAAACCTACTAAGGAACCGGACGCTTCGCTAGGAACTGCCAATAAAACGGGTAAAGACAATACACGAGACGAGCGCATGACATCATGAGAGCCTCACCCTGGCCTGGTTTGGGTCTCCGCTTTCGGCATTCGGGAGGGGGACTCTTTGCCTCAAGACATGAGTTCCATGTAATGTTGACCCCGGATTAAGAAACCCCTGTTTATTTTTATGGGGGTGTCCCCGGTTTTAGTGGGGATTTATCACTTTTGGAGGGGAACACCCCCATATTAACAAACAGGGGTTTATTAATCCGGGGTCAACATTAAGGGACTTCCAGGATTCGACTGAACGAAATCCAACACAATGGTGCGATTCCCCTGTGAATACCAACAAACGATGCGGTTTCAACCATGGGGTTCATTTGGTGGTGCGGAATGGACTTCGCAACCGGAAGTTGATTCAGTTGACTCCATCTTAAGCGAGTTTTTCACCAACCAAACGCTTTGGTTTTTCTTGTGGGGGGGGTTGGCAGCATTTCTCGGAAACATTTACAACTTACAACCAAAGAAGCAAATCGGATCTCCTGAATGGAGGGCGTGCTTCGGAAATTTTCTCAGCCGCCCCCGGACCAAAAACGCAAGAACCCAAGGGTTGTGATGACTTTGGGGCTCCAACACTCCAACATCCACTTGAGACCCGTTTCAGCAACTCGGGGTGTGGCATGGAACCCCCCGGTCTGCATACCAAGCCCAGGACCCTCAACGACATACCAAGAAAACTGTGGGACGGAATGAAGTTCTGCCGAGTTTGAAGCAACTGGGGTTACCCAACCATTCCATGAAGTCTCACAGCAAATTGGTATACTGCAAATACTTGGGGAAAAAAGCCTCCCCCGCCAACTGGAAAAAGCCAGCACTGTCGGCCCCAGTACTTTTCATCTCTACTCTTGGTATGGTAGCAAAACACTTTGTTTTTTGCAGACCCCCAGTAAAAATGAACAGAACCAAAAAAACTAAAAAAAAAAAAAAAAAAAAAAAAAAAAACGCCAAGAGCAGCGAATAAGTTTGGTGCTCAACCCGCGAAAATGGAATCAACTTCGAGGCAAAGACGCCGCTCGGGGGTTCAGCTACCATTAAATCAAAGGGGGTTAATGGGGGATGAACTCTAGGGGTTAGACAAGCCTTTCCATCAGTTTGTCCGTTTTGTAGTGCCAACATCGAAAAAAAAAGAGAAGAAAACGCGCACAATTTGCAGATATAGCCGTGTTTTCTGGAAGGCAACCATACTCCCGATAGCTACTTCCCTCAGGGAGCGTTAGTCTGAAGGCATGCGCCCAAACCTCTGACATCCAAGGAACCCACCCTGCAGCATCAATGAATCTACCACTATCTGGGCAAGCACCCCCGAAAACCCTCGGGCTCGGACGTACGAAGAGTTTCTATCCCGAGCTCCGGCCGAGTCAAATTGGGCCGTCCTTGGGCCGCTTGACCCTGCGCTTCCCTCGCAGACCTCAATGGGTCCAATGGCGAAATCGGCGTTGCTTGAACCCCACTTGAAACCCGGTGGATCCCAGAATTTGATTCGGTTCTTTGTGCCTGGACCCTCCAACATGAATTCTTGCAACCCAAGGAAAATTCGTGAACCCTCCAAAATGAATTGTTGCAACCCAAGAAAAAATACTGTGAATTCCTTGCCTTGGGCAGCGTGAGGGTTCAAATAGTTCAAACCCAGTGGGTTCCAGGCGTGTTGCAAACCAACTATTCTCCTTTTGGCTTAGGGTGGCGCTTGCCCTTTACCCACAAAACCAAGGGGACCCCAACAGGAACATACCCAACACCTCTGGTTGGGTTACGAGACTAAAGTCAGAAGTGGAGCGGATTGCCTCGAATGACTACATGTCTATATATATATATAGTGTTTTGATTGTGTGCCTTAATTATCATGGAATTCAGAGAGTAAACCTCAAAAACATATTATTTTGGTGATTTGGTAGGTGTGCCACCCCAGTGTCAACCCCTACAGTAAATGAATTAGCTATCCCTCGAGAAGATCCGACACTATAATTAAGTAGGGGATTGCCCCCAAAACGGCTTTACTATTGGTTTGCCGCTCACACGGTTTTATCATCCCACTTTTACTCATGCAATATTTAGCTAACTAGTTTGGGGCCACAGCCCCTGATTCCTGATTGGCCTCCTCCTCGGGTTATATAGAGCCCATTAGGACACACCCATTGACCGATTGTTCAAATCCCAGGTTGCAAAAATATTCACGCGTTTGTTCTGGATACAGCCACCAAACGAAGACAACAGATGAAAATCAAATGAACAAATAAATAAATGACGGAACGACCGCTACAAAACATCCCTTGTGGTTTCCTTTGAGGGTGCCAAAGCCTGGGTTCACTCCCACATGCTGAGCACCAGCAAGCTATACCTGCGACCCCCAAAAACGTACACCTCTTCCCAAAACGATGTTTTTTTCTTGCGGGAATTTCCAAACAGCTGTGGCGCCTGGGTCACTTGGGACCCCCGCCAGAGGCGTGTCCCGCGTGTCCCGCGTGTCCCGCGTGTGCCGCGTGTCCGGCGCTGGAGGCGCTGGAAGCGGAGCCACGCTTGGCGCGGCTCGTGCAGGCGTCGCCCTGAGCGACGGCCCAAGGTGAAAAGTACCTGCCACCCTGAAATTACGAAGTTCGGGATGACACCACTAACTTCTGGGGGACACCAAGTTCTGGGGGACACCACTAAGTTCTGGGGGACACTACCAAGTTCTGGATGACACCACTAAGTTCCGAAAGGAAAGACACCACTAAGTTGTTCCCTCCAAAAGTGATGAACCTCCACTAAGAGGGGACACCCCCGAATCAAGCAGGGAGCTATGAATCCGGGGTTACCAGTCTAAATCCTCCTGTGGAGAGGTTAGAATAAGGGGGGGACCTAGACTACCTGGACCCTCAAAAATCCAATTTAAAAATTGGTTGCTGCCCCCAAAATACTGGGGTGAACTCCCTTTTTAGGGGTAGTTTGGGGGCTCAGGTACTCAGAAAAAGAAGAAGAAGAAGAAGAAGAAGAAGAAGAAAATCGCCCCCCATAACATTGGTGCAATAACACACTTTTAAGGGAATTTTGAGGGTGCAGGAACCTGGAGTCTCCTTCTGATCCTGCAAACATGGGTACATGTTTCCTTTCTGTTACCCCCTTGCATTTTACATGGAGATGCCAGGTACACTCTAAATGGTGGATTGAAGAGCCAGTCTCAAAACTAGCCTCCAACCTAGTTGGTAAAAGGTTTTTCCACCCCCGAGAAATCCCCAAGTCGAGGAATGAGCTCGTGTTACCCTCGGCTTTGGTCCATATCAGGTAGAGCCCCCGGCCGAAATGACAGACGGGAATCGGTGTTGTGCACTCGTAGGTTTCCAGCCAAGGCACGCTAGATGCTACGCAAATTTGGAGCCTTGTAGTCTGTTGGCAGCAATCTGGAATATGTGAAAGCTACCGCAATCGATCAAGATTTTGGGGTCGGATGTTTTAACCCCCTGTACCTGCTCCATGGTTCGGGCAGAACGGCTCGGCTCTCCATTCTCATCTAAACTGAAAGTCCCACCCAAACAATTAAAAACCTCAAGAACCAGATGGCTAAGACTCACCAAGTCAAAGTCTCCGTGCCCAAGCGCGCTCAGGAACTTCGACACTGAGAATGTCCGGGGAATCAACCGGAGCGACAGGCGTTCGCACCACCACCCCTTCTCACCTGAGTTGACGGCCTCTTCTTGGCGCCAGAAAAACCAAACAACCTCTAAACATGGAACCACCAAGACTACAGTTGGAGTGATTTACAGGAAGTACACAGACTTTCAAAATACACAAGCGTGCAAACGCAGCTGCTTCTGATACAATAACTTATTCGGAAATATCATTTTTTTGAAGACACATCACAATCACAGTCTGCACAAGCCCTCCTTTGTCCAATCCTTGAAGGAGCTAAGTAGGGCACGCTCGTGAATCTTTCAGATAACCTGAGAGGAAGCACTGGAAGGGTGCCTGCTTTTGCAAAGCTAGGTCACAACCCCTATCATATGTGTACCAAATCTGAATGGCAGCTTAAGAGGGAAACAAACACCTCACCAATAATTGTCGGTTCGGGGCCCCCACAATCCATATCTCTTTCCAGAGGTTACCAAGGGGTTGGCCACGGGTTAGCCGCGCGTTAGCCGTGGGTTCCGGAAACACCATCTTTTCCGAAAACATTTGATGTTTTTTCGTGAAAAAAAAGCACGGGTTGCAACATGGGCATTCTACGTGTTCACTCCCGGGTTCCCAAACTTTCCGTATGGGCCGCCCTGCATTCCCAGCTCCGAGTTTTGCCTTTCCCGGCGGCGTTGGAATCACACGTCGAAGAATTCAGCTTCCCGGCAATTGGCTGGTGGTTTGGTGGTTGAAGAGGGGCTTCTCCAAAAGAACTAGGGGTTCAAATCCAAATCCAACTAGGGATATATACCTGGAGTCTCCATGAGTTCATGACCCCTTTGTTGTAGGTAATGACCCCCATTTTTAAAGGGTCATGGAGACTCCAGGTACGAGAAAACTTTATTGGCACCTGGTGCAAGACATCCACCCCTTGCCCGACCTCCGCAAGAAGCTGCTGCTGCAAACGCAAGGTCTGCCTCAGCTCGAGTTCCGAAGAAACTTCTGGGAAATGAGCAGGCATTCATGGCTAGCCTCTCTGTTGGTCTATGGTTCTACTTAAAAGGGCATTGTACTTAGTAAGTTGTTAGTAAGTCAGGTTATAACCCACAAAAGCCATGTTTATAAGTCTCCTATGTGGGTTATAACCTGGCTTACTAACCACTTGCCTGACGTACCCTGCCCCTTCAAGTAGGCTAGGGTTGATTCCTTGTCCATTCTTCTCAGCCCTTGTTCTTTTCAAAAACCGATCGCCATTTCTCCAGGCTTTTGGTTTTCTAGAAAGAAGGATCCCTGGAAAGAATGGGGAAGTTACCCCTAGAATGGTTCGCAAAACTATCTAGGTCCTCCAGTAGAGAGCTTAGAATCGGGGTACCAACATTTTTCTGTAGTCTATTTTAGTAGGGAACCCTCCCCAAAAAAAAGGGTAAACGGGCACTACTGGGGGACCCAGCTATGTTAATTTGGGGTCTTGGGCTTGTAGGAGTAGTTGTGTTTGCGTGGATTGTTTGCTATGTTTTCAACCCTGGTTTCTTAGGAGGTGCGAGAAGCGGATTCTGCAACCATCCAAGTATCTTCCGGACGGGGAACTTCTTGCTTACTCTCCCCCAAACGCTCCGCTCCACCTCTTCGTCTTCAGAACCCCTTCTCCAAATGGCCCGAAACCCATGGGCGGTTCTGCAAAGAGAAACCGAGGGACCCAAGGCTTTCGCAATGGAATTCAGGTTTTGGGTATGTCGAAATCAAACCACCAGGAATTGGACCACAGTCCTTGTTCAAAGCCACGGGCAAATTGCCGCTTATAAACAAAGCGATTGGTGAAGAGAATGGGTGAAGAGAATGGGTGAAGCGAATGGGTGAAGAGAATGGGTGAAGAGAATGGGTGAAGAGAATGGGTGAAGAGAATGGGTGAAGCGAATGGGTGAAGAGAATGGGTGAAGCAAATGGGTGAAGCGAATGGGGGATAATCCTTCACTACCATGTCCTTGCGGAACTCCTGGTAGCTCCTTAGCTCCCTCTCTTTTGTGCCAAATCTCGATACCCCCAGCTCCTTGGCTCCGTTCCCACCACCAGCCAGTTCGGATTTCCCGTCCGAGTTGCTCCGTTTGTAGGTCCAGCAGCAGGATCTGTGCCGCCGTGATAGGCTTCACCTCGCAATGCCGACAAGACGAGACGGGAATTCGTAAGTTCGGAGTCGACATACTCGGAGGTGCCCTAGCTTCATGGACAATGGAGAACTCGATCTGAAACTTGGCAAAAGTCATCCATCATAGCGTGTGCGCATGTGGATAAAAGCCTTGGTCATGAAGTCAAACATCGCTTGCTTATGCTTACGTGTTGTACATGACAGTCCAAACCTGGACACAACATGGGAAAACACCTATGCAGGCAGCTGGAACTGCACGTTTGCGGTTTGAATATCAATGTTTGGGGAATTTTGCCGACATGAACGCCATACGGATCATCATGCTGATGGATTTTGAGCCTTCAAAAAGATTCAGTCGGCACGGCCCTTGTTCACGCGCCAGATTCATTAATCCGGGGTTGCACATGGAATAGTTCCCTGTAGGACTTTCCAAGTGCTATTGGCCAGTCATGAAACTAAATGTTTCTTGGCCACTAACCAGTCACTAATCGGCCGCCATTGCCCCCCTTGCTATGGCTCTGAATCAGTACCCTGCCACCAATTGACATGGAACCTTGCGCTTCTGGGGGTCCTGGTTTGGACCATTTCCCTGTTGAACGGAGCAATTCCCGAACGTCAGGTTCCGGCTGCTAATTGGTGAGGGGGTATACTGTGAATCAGCCCTATCAAAAGGTCAGCCCCTCTGCATCCGCCAGATCCGCATCGGCACCGAGCACCAAGCGATCGCTTTGCTGAACAGCAGCTTCACACCTAAGCGACGAGATGTTCACACCCCTGCATGAACCGACTGTATAGGTTGGCCACCCCATCGTTTTCAGTTGTGTGTTCTTTGAGAAACCGCTTAATGAGATTCTTACTTTCCTTTCATCGGCAAGAAGGCTCCCTGGAATGCATGGGGCATGCACATATAGAACAATCACACGACCTAGTTTCGGATTGGGCACGCAAACAAGTAGAGACTGCGTACCAGCAAACATGAAGGACACATACCCAGTGGGTTTGTTGATGATATGGGCGTCAACCCTTAAACAAATGAATCGCCCAACCCAATTTAGATGAATTTAGTTTATTGAGCTGCGGTAAGCGAGTTTTGGCAATAACAAGTCCCTTAAACGAATGGCCCGAACCCAACATCGATGATTAAACTAAGGCTTATGTGGGTCTCTGCTTGACCCATGGAATTTGGCCATGGGTCAAAAGCTAAATCGCACCCCCAGTGAACATCCCAATCCCACTAAAATAGGTTCTAAAATGGGTGGTGAATTCACCTACCAACCAAAATGGTTTTCCAAAACGGTTTTGACAACCACAGCCATTTGGCTGTGGCTCAAAAAATCGGTACCCAAAATGGCTTGCCCGATTGGTAAGTGGAAACATGGACCAAAACCTGTGGTTTGCCCCTCCTGTTTAATTTTGAGAACCACACCCATTTGGCAACAACAAATCCCCATACACATCCGCCCTGCCTTCGCGGGAGCCGGGAGAGCCGGGAGCCGGGAATTCGAGTTCTCAGTTGGTTTTTGGGGACCCACCTGGACACTTCCAACTAAAAAATGGGCTCTTGCCTTCTCCATTCTTTTTGGTTTAAGGGGAATTCCAACTCAACTCGTGTTTACGGGTAGTTTGAGGGTCCGGGCAAATTTAGAAGGCGAAGCTTTTTGATTTACGGAAAAATGGGTACCGGATCACGGCAACAACAAGGTCGAATTCGGTCGATTCGCTTTGGTTGAGACCCTTGAAATTTGTGTAATCCGAAGCTCAAAGTCGGAATCAAAGGAGGCCCAAGCAACCCTTGACCTACCCGTGATGGAAAAAGGAAATCCGCGAGTCTCGCACCACGAAATCGAAATTTGTTTGTTACAGGGAATCATCTCATTCCAGGGTTTGCTAGGGTGTGCGGAATGGATGTCGTCCATCCACAGTATTCTGCGTAAGCCTTGACAATGGGTTGCCAGGGATCGAAATCCCCTCCCCCAATCAACCATTCTTAAGGGCCTGGGGATGGAATGTGCACAGTTTCCGGATATGAAAGCTTGGGGAATCCAAATGTCAGATGACCGAAGCTTGGCCCAAACCGAAGTTCTTGGTTGCTGATGACCCCTCTGCAAAAAGCTGTTCACTTTTTAGGGGTTTAGTGGGAAACACAACTTGATTTCAACCAAAAAGTTAAAGTCTAAAGATCCAACCCAATAGCAGTCATGAGTTCATTTTACTCCCCAGATTATGCGTTGCCCAAAATACAACCCAAAAGAAGATCCTAAAAATGGCCGGGTTTCTGGGTTCCATGTTAAAGTGTATACCTGGACCCTCAAGCTACCATTTAAGAAGGGGAACTCCCCCCATAATTTTGTGCAACAACACGTTTTGTTTTTCTTATATCTATATATCTATATATATGAATTGTAGGGGTTCAGGAGGGAGACATGTCTGGTTCATGTCTCCCACTCATCGCTGAGGCTTGGACCCATCAAGGGGAAGGACAAAAAGACCTCGGGCCGAACACGCAACACTCCGTTTTGTTTAGAATTTTGTTCCACTGTGTTTTGACACTGTGCCCTGAACCCTCAACCTACCCATAAAGGGAATCTGCATCATAACCTTGAGTTGCAATAACCCATTGTTAAGTTGACACTGTGACCCTGGGGTTCCTTGCCCCCATTAAAAGAATGGTCTTGGGACCCAATCTGGATGATGACAATCCTTAACACTGGTGGTGATATG